TTACCAATGTAGCTAAAAACCATAATTTTTCTTCATACCGCTGAGGTTCCTGTTGCCCCTCCCTGTTCTTCCCCCCTTAAAGCACTTTTCAGGTCCACCTCACAAAGCAGTTTACATAAAATTATAAAAAAACCCAGAAAGCATCAATCAAACAAAAAAGGCAACTGTTTTTGTTTTGAAGGTGCTTATCTACTTCTTTCCTGTTTCCCTCAGGGCAAGACTGTTTTATGTGGTGGCAGTTAGTAGAGGTAGGCTGAAGGGCAGCCCTAAGAGCTGCATGGTGGTAGCTCTCCAAAATGGCTCCTAGCCTACATTCATATGGGACCCCACAGAGTTTACAAAAGAAGTCATAACAAACCTTGCGCTGACAAGGGTATTAGTTGTCTCTCATTGAATAGATAATGTGTTTGGGCAACACAGAGCTAGAATAACTCAATGAAGTGATTTAACAGAAGCCACATCTTCATGGCATGAAATATGAGAGGGAAAAATACATGACTCAACTAAAGCTAACGAGGTAAGTCACCCATAAGGGAAATAAACAAGTTCGGGGAAACATTCTGCTCTATAATGATATTTTATAAAACCCAAAGCTAAAACATGTTGTTATTAATGACAAACAGGATGTTTTTTTTTTATATTTTGTCGTATCATAAAGATATCACATACTTGAGGGAAAGGGATTCCTTACCTGCAAATCTCTGAAGATAAACAGAGTAAGTCCATCACAAAATGGTGTCTGTACACGGTGAAAAGAGTGTCACTGTTTTTGTTCTAAAGTTATAGGTCACAAAGGTTAATTCCTGTAAATATAGAAAGTTGTGTCAAGTGCACCCAGTACCTGCAACAGCAGGGTCCAATTCGATACTAAGTCATCCATCCATCCAAGCACATTGCTAGACTTTACTTACTGACAAAGACTGGGTTCAAATGAATGACAGCATCAGCTGCCAGATGTGCTGAGTGGATCACATTCCATCCCAGTCCAATATTTTTTCATTACTGGAAGCAGCCTGTTAAGAAGTCAACACAAAAGAAAAAGGGAACAGAACAGAGTATCTCCAAAGGGAGGTAGAAAAACAAACAATCATTGAGTTTAAGCTCTCAGTCGGTATTCTAGAATAACAGTAATTTCAAATCTTTTTTACATCCATCCCAAATGATGTGCTCTGCAGCTTAAGATAAGCTATGATAGAAGTTTGTTATCAAATTAAGATTTCAAAATATAAAAAGCACATGCCCTATTATAGAGCAGTGACCCAAATTTCAATGTTTCCTCAGCCCACATAGGATATGGGTTAGAAGGCCTAGGGAAACTGTGGGGTTATGGAGGCTAAGTTGGAATCAAGCGTAATGTGTGCGACTGCAGAATATATAAACAAAAACAAAAACCCTCAGAGTCGTGTGGGAACAGTCCTGATGTATGCAACAATACTGTCTTGTGAATTTATTGTTGTTGTTTTCATTTTACTTGTAAGCCACCTTGGTTAGAATTTGCATCTTTAAAGACAAGATGTAAATAAACAACATTTGTGTATGGGTTATTAGTTAAGCCTATAACCAATTTCCAAGCTTCTCGTGCACAAGTTCATTCGTAAATTTACCTCTTCTCTTAAACCAAACATTTTCAAAATATTTATTTGTATCCCTCCCCCTCCCCGAAGGAAATTCACTGAATATATTATTGTTTGAGGTATCTCAGCAGAGGCTAAATGGCCACCTACTACGAATGTTTTATTTATTCCCTCAGCAGGAGATTGGACTAACTGACCTGTGAGGTATAATCCAACTCTATGATTCTATTAGCCTTCTCAGGGTGTGTGGTGGTAAGCAAAATTTAACTGATCACTCCTTCTAATGATGAACTCTGTTGATGAGTACTAGCTACATGGGAGTCAAAATGGGTCCAAGAAGAAACAAAAGTGAGGTATCAGCATGGTGGGGGGAAGGGACACCAAGGTTTGCAGAAGTAAAAACAAAACTCTACGGAGGTGATCTTCCCCCACAAGCCTCAACTATCCCCCAGCATACTTGTGAATGTTTGGATGGCTCAGTGATTGGATGTTATAAGGCAGCTTCATATGCTCAAAAATCATTTTAGTTTCTAACACATAAAAAGTATAACATGAACATGATAAAATGGACTGAAAACACAAAACGCAACTAGCATACACGTTTTCCTCACATCAGTGGCATTTGCAAAATAAAATAAAAAAGACTTGAAAACGTAACATATAACCAAATGTTATTTAATATTTTAAAAAGTAACACAATCCAAAATGGATATTTCACACAACACTACATAAACAACATGAACACAATATTACCATATGGAGGGACTTTCAAATATAGACTTACAAAAATCCCTGTCCTTTTTTTTCTTTTAAGTTATTATACTAAGCATGACAAGTTATCATCATTTACAATATGGTACACTGACACAATAAAAACCATGTCACAAATGTGCTGTTATAAATCAGTAACGTTAAGGGAAGACATTTCATGAACTGTATTATTTCATATGAAATACTATACAATATAAACAGAACATCCAGTTCGGATGACCTTTACAGCAACCAGAGACCAAGTAATTTTAATTTTTTTTTTCAGTGCAAACACATTTATACAAGGCAGTCTTGGTTGCAAAACTCCCTTCTAGCATACAGTAAGTCCCACTTGCATTTATTAACTCATTTAAACCTAAAGCAACAACCACATTCAGTCACTCACAGGTTACCTGCAGAATTATGATCCCTTTAAATCTAAGTCTCCTGTTCATACAGAAGTTAACATCTGTGCCAATTATTCAACGGGCCCTATCTTTCATGCTCACATGTGGGTGTCTGTTGTATTTTAAACTGTCTATAAACTCTAATCACAGTATTGTTGTGAATCATTATGGAATAGCATCAAGGGGTGTGTGTGAGAGAGTTTGTCAATGAGAAAAGAACAGTTTGCTTAATGTTTCTTAGGGTACTTTTATGATGCAGAAAAACTCAAAGTGGAGGCACTCTGGTGAGTTTGTGTTTGTGCATCATATACTTGGCATGATAGGAGTCTGGCAGTTGCAGAATATGATACACAATGGCTCTATGATAAACTGTGACCTGGGAACCATCTCCCAACAGAAGTAATTTGCTTCTGCCACTGTTAGATGGACCAAAACAACTTCTTTCATATCATTAACTATTCTTGTCCACTAACTGTATATGCTGCATAGGCTACTGTTATTTTAAACTTTTCTAAAGTGGTTAACACGGCCTCTGCCTCTCAGTCATATGATGCTGGAACTGTCACCGTATTTTCTATGAACTATGGGATACTTACAACTATGGGATGCTTCCATCATAGTCCCTCTTAGGCTGTGGCCATACTATAGAACAAGCCATCTAACTCACCCCCAACAGAACAATGATGGACCAGCAGTCATGTATTGAGCCTATTAGGCACTTTAGATTTGAGCCCCATGTCCTTGCAGATCCAAGGCAGACTGTAATATTGTGAGCAACAGGCCTGCTGTACAACATATTTAGTTTAAGAGATAACCAATCCCTCTCATGCTATATTTTGTGAATACAAGTCACAAAAGACCTCTATACACACACCCCGTTGGGCTGGGCTGGGACCATTTTCACGACATGTTCTTAAAACTGAAATATTGAAACGAATTTAAAACACAGAGGCTTAAGTATTTTCTAGTAATTTCACATGAATGAAAGCGAAGGTGGAACTAGAATGAAAAAAACAGTGTTGTGGCTCCTTAAAGACTAACAGCTGCTCTGTGGAATGTGCATGAAGTGGACTGTGGGCCACGAAAGCTGATGCCACAATACATTTATTAGTTTTTAAGGTACCAGAACACTCTTCACTTATGCTGCAAAAGACTAGCATGGCTGTGACATCTCATTATACTTTTATTTCATCCCATTGCCCAAACCCAGCAGAGCAAGCTCGAAAGATAGCTGCAAGATAGGAGAAACCTACACTTAGCAACTGGTTTCTGTGTGTGCTCTCTCTCAAAGTGATGCTGTGATGGTCACCTGTTAGGCAACGGAAAGTATGCCTTGATTGTCTAATGGGTAAAGAGGAGTATTACATTTTGGAAGCAGAGAGGTATAAATCAAATGAACTAGATTGGGATGATTATCTGTAGGATTATAATTTAAAAGTGATTTATTTAAGTTAATGAAATTAGTTGGAAATATTTTATGGAGGAGCAGAGGAATATAAACTACAGCAGTCTCTAATTTACTGAACTCAGCAATTTCACATTTGGAAAAGGCTTGTTCAAAATATGTATTTTAGTATTTCTCTTGTGTGTAGTAATTTTAGTTCTTTTTCACTAGTGAGAATGGCTATGTTGCTGGAAGTTAAAATATTTTGGCACTGTAGTAAGGGCCACTTCAAGGCTCCAAAACGGTTTCTTTTCTTAGACAGCTTAAAAACTAACTTCGTAATGTTAACGCTGAACTTATTTTAAATATTAAACAAATGTTCATTGTTACTAGGCAGTCAAACAAGTAGAATGAGGGAAACCCTGTATTTGAGAGGGTTTGGAACCTGGCTACATTGACTTGGAAACAAGTCATTTGACTGCAATGGAGTTTATTTCTACTACTTAAGTTTGCAAAATGCTTGAGATTTTCAGGAAAAAGTACAGTAGCAGTGCATTGCCAATCTTTCATGAACTGCTCTTTATAGCAAAACTCCCCCCCCCCCCGGAAAGCGGTGAGGGAAATAATTGCTACAGATATGGCTGGTGATTTACTGAAGTCAAGAATGCTTTTAAACCACACAGCTATTTATGCTAATCTGCCTATTACAATTAGGACTATATTTATTCTGTGTGTCCATGACAGTACCGCACATGTGTGGACTGGAATCTGGGTCCTGCATGAGAGTCAGCATCCCGTGAATCTCTGCAAACAGAGGCTCAAAAATACACAAGGGGAAATCTAAAATTTTTAGAATGGCTCTGCACACGACTACCAGTGGTTGGGATGTGTGCGGCTTCAATCCTATGTGTGTCTCCCTTCCTCTCCTTCTTCTATAGGTAGCTGATGCAGGGAAAACATATTTATTTCTCAGGAGATGGTTCTTCTTGGTACAGAATCTGGATGACTTTGCTGTAGAATTGGGATTTTTTTTTCTCAGGTACAGAACATTCACAGCCCTGACTACAATAAAGCCAGTATTATTTTAACTAGTTAAAAGGTTCTAACAATACGCTCCTCCAATCTTGTTTTGTATTTCTGTGTGAGTGATAATGGCATGGATTTAGCTGAACAACCCCCTAAAAATATACCTAGCACATTTATAGAGCAATCATAGCCTTGAAGGGCAGCTGCCATTCAATGCGCTTATTTTTGTCACCTCCACCCTCGCAAAGGATGCATCTGAAGATACTTTCTTAACTGTTCCTCGCTCTTTTTACTGTATGTTTAAAGGAAAAACACTCCTACGGCTTATTTGGTGGTTCTGTTATTATTAACACTAATATCAGGATCTCAGACTATTTATCTCATTGTGAAAAATATTGGGCTCTATAGTATTCAACCTCCAAGATGCGCATGATTGAGAAAACTGAGAGCGTATTACGCCAGTGGCCCACTTGGGAGGCAGATAATGCAAAGATTTAAGCTAAACTCTGGCATGATATGTTGCCATAAATGAAGGCAGAATAGGGCCCAAAGAGTTTAAATGGAGGCAGTAAAATACCCGGTGTGTCTTTTGCTAAGCCCCAAACTGCCAATCATATTCCATATACTGTATATATTTAACAGGCTTCTAAAGTACAAGCAACACTAGACTTTCTACCAGGTAGAAACTTCAGCAGAAATGGAAAGACAAAGGACAAATTTGAGCCCCCCCTCCCCTTTGTTTATCTAAAAGATTCTATGACCCTTGTATAAAATCTCGTACTACTAAAGCCAAAAGCCAATTGAATACAGTAACAGGAAATCATGGCAATGAAAAATGACTTCATATGCAAGCACCGACACACAAGAGAACGTCATGGCCTATTTCTTCATAAAGTTTTAAACGTCGCTCTTAACAATACCCTTTTTAAAAAAAGACATGTTGCTGCATTTCATCAAATTCATGGAGGTAGTTATATGTGTAAAAAAGAATTTTACCATAAAAGTAACATGTTGTATTATAATAATACATATCAAGTGTGCAAAATGCCGACAGATTTGTGTTGACCCTTTAAAGTTGAACACAACATAGAGATTCAACGCATTCTGGTTCTGTAAACCTTTTAAGTTGATACATTAGAAGGATGATAGATGATCAACCATGCAATATAAGGTCATCATGATTTCATCACAGGATAACAGTGACAAAAACACTCAAGCTCCACTCCTGTGAGTATATGTCTATAATCTCAAAATGGACTTTCTTTATATTTCTTTTTGAAAAGAATGCACATTAAGAATGTTTATGTAAGTTTCATTTATATAACATGTTCCGAGAGTCACATTAACGCTAATAAAATGCCACAAACATATTATTGGCCAATAGCCATGCCAATATTAACAGGACCTTTTAAAAGCTCGTCTTTGGGGACCTTTAAATGTCAACCAAGGGAGAATTTATTGTTAAAACACTGGAATGATGTCTTTTGTATAACTGCTTAATGTATCCATTTCAATAATCTTAACTAATGGAAGAATATTTCCCATACATGGTAATATCTTCCTCATTCACATTTTTATACGACATTTTAATTTTTACTTTCAGTTATGAATTCTGATATCATTCCAGCAATTGTAGTGAATTGATGCATACTATAAATATCAGAGCATGTCTCCAAACCTTCCCCCCACATTGCTTCTGTATAGCAATTTCCTGCCCAAAACCTAATAACTCTGGAATCTGCATATATTAAATATTCCCAGAGTTACCTATGTAAGGAATGAGATTTGTCAGGCAATGCATTTATAGGTTATTATACCATAGCTTCAAATGTATTTATAAGGCAGGAGGCCAAGTAACTAACCAACCAAGCAGCATAATAATCTCCATTATATGCACTGAGCCATCTCACTACTTGTAGCAAATAGAATGTATACATGATAATAAAGCAAGTATCTAGGCCTGATCCTTCACTGGTTGTTCCAGATAGCAGGGCTACAACTCAAAGCTTCACAGGACCCAGAAGGCTCAGTGCGCACAATGGGATTTCATGTATGGAGCATTTCCTAACACTAAAGTTAAAGGAAGAGCTCCAGTTTGTTCAGTACTAAACACACATCTGAGTCCCTGCCTATGTACCAGAGTGCCCTGGATTTGCAATGGACTGATTTACCCTGGTGTAAACTGAAACCAATTGTGCCCAGTGTTTGTAAAGCTATTTAATAAGCACCTGAAAGCTGTTTAAAACTGTTTAAGGTAAGAGTGCACTTTCAGAAGACAACACAGAACACAAGTGAAGCTTGAACAGGTTATACAAATCATCACCAGTACCTGATGAAAATACCGTCTTTAATGGTATGCTTGGTTATATCACCTGGGTATCAACAAAAGACAGATAGTGTAAATGTCAATCCATACAACAATTTACACTGCTTCTGATCTTTCTTATTGTATGTTATTATCCTACTTGTACCACCATTATGATTGTTTGAAAACAAAATTTATGCAGTACTGGGTTGCATAAATAACAGACAGCAGAATTTGGCCCTTTATGCTTTTCAAGTTTACTCTTGAAATTGCAGATCTCTCTAAACATTAATCTAGAATACTTTTCTTAAAAAATAGATTACTTTGGATTAGCAATTTCAGGACATACACATTAGATATAATAAACCTGTGGATACAGAACTTCTGCTATCAACTTTGTGAGACTCACAAAAGAGGTAACGCGATGTCTTTTATTGAACTAACCTTTGTTGATGAAAAACTTAGCAAGCTTTTGAGTACATCAATGAATATCTCATTTTCTCAGATCAAACAAATAATCTCTCTCTTCATCAGCGATCCACCTGGACACATTTAAAACTCATGATTATTTTTAAACTAAGTATTTCCATACAATGTTTACTCACAAAGAAATGTAATTCAATAAAAGGCCTGAAGTTTATTAGTCTCTAAATCTTTTCTCTACAGTGTATGCTAGTTTCAATAGCCTAATTTAGGCACTCTAAAAGCTACATAAAATAAAAATATAATATGTCCTTCCATAGAAAGAAATCAACCCTTCAGGCCATAATTCATCATTTGTATCACAAAGAGCTTTCTTCTTCTTCTTCTTTTTCTTCTTCTCCTTCTTCGTCTTCTTCCAAATTACTTTGATAATAATAATAATATTAATAATTTGGGGTAACAACTGGAGTGACACATTAAAAAAGTGATCACTTTACTTGCCTTTTATATTTTAAAAAACAAAAAACACCTGTTACCTCTTCTATCACTTAGTGATGTGCCTCAATCAAAGTTAGGTTTCTCCTTCCTCACCTTCAATTCAAAGTCTTATATCCCTGCTTTCAACTAGGGGAAATTAAGAAATAAGTTTTAGGTAAACATCTCATACTTTAAAAAAATCAAAGTAAAAATAGATAACATCTCCATTATTCCCCACCTTTTCCCAAAAACACGACCTCTTTTGACTTACTTTTGCTATGGATTCTTGCAAGATCATGTCATGAAGACTCACAGTGAAAATGACAGATGTATAAATAATTCACAGGTAGAGCTGAGGTCTTTCCTAGACTCATTTCGCATTGTTTTCCCTCAAGGTGACCCTTAGCTGTTTACTTTCAATGAAGGCTCAGTTTATAAAGGAAAAGAACCATCTCTGTGGCAAATAGTTTAACCAGTGGTAGGGGGCATCACATATCTGTGGCATTTTAAAATGAAGTTGGCAACTGCATGACATTGAAAATGCAGATTACACTTACAGTGTCTAGACTTTCATATATGTGCTCAGTTACGATTAAGTGAAGCAAAAGTGTACATATTATCCCTACTGCTATTCTCTTGCTACAGAGCCGCAAAATGTGAAAAGCAATACCTTGAAATAAAGATTTCTTTGTTGTCCCTAGCCTATGTAGCAACACAGTTTAGGTAGACACAAAAACTGTGCGGTTGAGATGCCTGGTTTTTCCCCCCTCCAAAAGACGTAAACATCAGTCCCAGCGTCGTAAACTTGGCTGTATAGGATGAGACAGAAGATCTGAGGCAGAAGCACTATCAAACACTTGTAACAGAAGCTTGCAGGCAATTAGCAGGTTTCTGGAGTTTTTCAGTTTCGCTTGTTGGCGGGTCAGCAGTTGCACGGAAGCTGAACACTGGACCTGCACCACCATGTGCAGGGCTGAGAGCTGGGTTCTGGCGCCTGTTGCTTTCAACAATGCTTGACGTGTTGGAAGCTAAGCTCTCACGAGTACTAGAGAGAGAAGGGGGGAAACAAATACACATATAACAGTTGTACATATATCCATCTACTTGCCTGCATGAAAAGGTAACACAGAAGGTTATATAAAGGAATTCCTACTTTTGCATTTTAACAGTAAGCCAAGGACCCTAGTTTAATAAACCATACTGCGCACAAGCCCAATTGCTCCTACTTCTCTCTTGCCTTGACATCAGTGGGTAAAAAAAACAGCTTAGTGTGATGTCCGATTATGGTTTGTTTCCTTCTTAAAAAGTCAGGATCTCTAGCCAGACTCAAGCCAAGTTTGTAGTTGACTGACAAACCAAAATTCTGGGTTCAGATGCTTCCACATCACAGAAAGTCAAATTATAGCTTATCAGAGCTGTGTAAACATGGAGACTCCTGGAGAAGAGCTCACAGTTGCTTTTCGCATCCTCTGTCTTTTTAACTCTTGTGATGTACAAAGCCAAGCCATGTTATGGCTTTGCATGTCATCTGAACTCATGATCAAAATTCTTCAACACTGAATATTAGTATATGAATAATAAATATTAGATTTAATAAGTCCTTAATACTGAGCCCATGTCAAGGTGCAATTGTTGTTCAAGTGAGGCAAACAATATATCCCTATTTGCAGGTGAAATGTAGCACCTTTCCATTCCAGACTGGTGCACTCAAGAACAGGGTTGCCCTGGACCAGACGTGTGGCTGCATGACTGAACTAAGATATAAGAATTACTGCTGTATCACAGGCTCCACTGAGCACAGGCACTTACTGCTCCTTATGCAGCATACAGAACATTTCAGGATAAATCTGAAAAGCCTTTAAAAATAATTTCTAATATATATCATGCTGTCAGCATGACACCTTTTCCATAATTTTATCATGCAACCATGACAAAAGACTGACCTTATCCCTGCCTAAAATATGTGTGGGCCTAGGAATGTTACCAATATTCCTTTGTGTATCAAAAACATCATCCGTAGTAGACAGCAGGTAGTAACTACAGGTACAGCAAGTGATGCTTGGCACTCCCAGGGCAGGGGCAAAGAAAAATGATGTGCATGCATGAACCTACAAGACAATTGTAACGTTGGCTTCTGAATTTCTTTACTTTCCCCTTCTGTTACCCTCCCTTTTTTCCTTCTGTGTAAAGCAACATTCGCTTTTGTCTGTTATAGTTAAGTATCATTCATGTTTATGCTAAGAATAGCAGTGGCTCTTTTATTTTCCATAGTGTGAAGAAAGAGCTGTCAGTGGAGGGGCTCCCTCTTCCCATCCTCTAGACCCCCCTGGGAAACCCAACAAACCTGCTGTACCTAGAAATTGGTGTAGAGAGTGCAGCTCAATGGGACACCACTGGGTGCAGCCTGAGGAAGTGCCATCCACCTTGGGCCTGCCCATAAAAAGAAAGTCTAGAGTGAAAGATTAGGGTGATGTCCATTATTTCCATGAGCTCTTCTCGTTGTGGGTGAATTGAGTGTTTGTTTAGACCCTGGGTGAGAACCCAGACGCTGAGAGGAAGGGTGAGTTAAAAGGCAAATGAACTGATATTGATTTATATACAGTGCAACCTTGGTTCTCAAATGGCTTAGCTGACAAAGAAATCGGCTCCCGAACGCTGAAAACCCGGAAGCAAGTGTTCCATTTTCCGAACGTTTTTTGGAAGCCAAGTGTCCAATGCAGCTGTCGGCTATTGTTTCCAGGGCACCTGTGCCAATCGGAAACTGTGTCTTGGTTTCCGAATTTTTTGGGAGTCAAGCAGACTTCTGGAACGGATTAAGTTCGAGAACCAACGTTCCACTGTATAGATATTTGTATTAATGTAACTTTTTTGTACGTAACTGTGTATTTTTGAAATATTTTAAGTCGTCTGTTGTTGCTTCAGTTTTCTGTATACCACCTGAGAGATATTTTTAGTATATTAAGCGGCATAGAAATTAAATAATCAAACTAATCAATTCCTACCTCAATTCCAAGTTCATTTTTAGGCCATTAATATATCATATGAAGCCATATTGTTCAGCCGATGGTAAATCTTTCCCAGATAACCCAATTGCTCTGCCACAAATAGAATGTTATAGCCAGCCAATTCCTGAAATGCCATCATTCTGCAGTGGCATTTCAACTAGAGAGTGATCATGATGGAAATATCACATCAGTAATAAAACAGTAAGAATGAACACCCAAGGCACACTTCTCAGTGAATATATAGGAGAGATATGGCATTATGGACTATTGGTAGGAGCTCACAGCACCAGCACCAACAAATGTTGCTGAACAGAGTTGTTGATTGTATAACTCTAAAAAAAAATTATACCTCACTTAATTTCCAAATAAACTCAAAGAACAAAATATATAAAATCCCCAGTAAAATAAATATTGGTGTAATGTAAAAATAAATAAAAAGAATAACAAGAATTAAAATTCCACTAAAATTAAGACAAAGATAAACCAACAAAGAGAGAACAATCTTTTAAATTAATATTTTTACCAGCCACAAATACAATATAGTGTGGTCCTAACACATCTAAGCTGGCATTCTACATGTGTTGCACAGGAGGGAAAAGGCCCAAATTGTAGTTACTGCTAGTCCTGCTTCCTGGGATTGAAGGATGTAGAGTAGGGCTTCGCATAAATGATGGTCAATGCCGGGAGAAATGTGCAGAAAAAGGCAGTTCTCAAGGTAATCAGTGCCCAAAAGGTCAACACCAGCACCTTGAATTGGGGCCAGAAACACACCAGTAAACAGTGTACAGATCACACAAAACTGGCATGACATAATCAAAATATCGAGCACCTGTCAGCAACCTGGCTACAGCATTTTGCAGCAGTTGCAGTTTCAGAACACTTTTCAAGGGTAACCAACCGCATGTAGAGCACTTTATTAATTACCAGCAGCAATGTTATTGTTATTGCCATTGGCCTTAACAATTTTCATATAAAATTTCTCAAACACAAACTTCAAGGAAGTAAAAAAAGTTATATATATTTTTAACCCAATACATTAATATTACAAATTAAATTAAAGGTATTTGCTATCTTCTCCTTAGATATCTTCCACACCAGCTGTTTTGATCCTTTCCACTTCTTTCTCTCAAAGTTAAAACATATAGCATGTTATAAGGGTCACAAAAGGCTGTAACACCCAGCTAGGTTGTTTCCTGTGAATTACCTTCTTATATTACCTTCCATTCTAGGAGTATGGCAGCCAATGTAAGAATCACTCACTGAAAGGGAGCTTCAGCAATATAAAAATCTAAAAAACCATGTGGTAGCAACCTGGAAGATTGGAAGGAAGTAGAGAAAACATGCTTATTCCTCCCTTCCATCCCAGTTCCTTGACAATATTAGCCTAGATGTTCTAGATGGACAGATGGGTTCAGGTCCTAGGCCAACTGTCCATTCTTTCAAAATAGGAACAAATTATGTTTACTTTTGAGTGAATGCAATATAGCTTTTTATATGAAGAAACTGCTTAAGTAACAGATAAAAAATGTTAAGATATATATGCACCAGTAGTGTAAATACAGTGGTACCTCGGTTGTTGAACGTAATCCGTTCTGGAAGACTGTTCGACTTCCGATATGTTCGACAACTAGGCACAAAGGGCTGGCTGCCAAGTCAATGGAGAAAACTGGGGGGGCGGGGAACGCAGTGGAAGCCATTTGACATACGAAGTGCATTCGAAAAGGGAAGCAATTACTTCCAGGTTTTCGGTGTTCAAAAATCAAAATGTTCAGCTTCCAAGGTGCTCGAAAACCGAGGTACCACTGTATTTTCTGGTTTTCGTCTGCACCAAAATTAGATTGTAACTTTTGCTAATTGCTCATAAAATGTGTATGAAACTATACAAATGGATAGTTGACTACAGTGCTATATGGAGGGAAATGTAGGAAACTGCAGAAGAAATTTAAATCCACGTTCATATACGTAGTTCTTCCAGAGGTATTAATCTGAACTGGCTCAATTCAGGTGTTTCTCCAAATCCTGGTTTGTTTCCTCTGAGGCTTCTCTTTCCGTTACCTGCTTGGCATGAATCCTAATTTGCTTTGCTGTGTGACTTGTGAACTGGCAAGATAGGCCTGTTCTCCAATCCACCATCAGAAATCTACCTCAAGCCATTGTGTCCGATTCTGATTTCGAGGGCAATTACTAACCATAGTTTGCTGACTTTGTTGTTACAGTAAATTATGGATTATATTTAAGAGCAAGGAATGCACTCTGTCTAATCTACGGAAAATAATCTGAAGAGAACCTTAGTCATTAACAGACTAAAACCCTTGTCCCACACATACAGAGGGAAAGTTCAAAGAAATCCACCCCAACCGTTACTTTGAAAATCCTCTTGAGTGGCATTTTGCAGGGTAGTAAAGCATGGAGATTTGGAAAACACTCACTAAATTCTTCCCTGAGCCAGTGAAGAATAAAGAAAATAAAAAGAAGGGGTAGAAAAGGTTCTGTCTATGAGAGAAGCGATACAGGAAGCTGCCTGGTATTGAGTTGGAATACTGAATCATCTGTGGCAGTTTTGCTGACACTGACTGGCAGTGGCTATCCAGGGTTTCAGACAGGAGATGCTCCCAGCTCAACCTGGAGATGCCAAATACTGAACCTAAGATTTTCTGCCTGCAAGGCAAATGTCTGAGCTACACAGGCAGAGAGATTAGATTACAGAACCTGCAGGATAGAAACAAAAGCCTGCCTTTTACATTCATAATGATATGAATAGCATGTCCATAAAACTGACATTTTTTTTTAAAAGCCTTGGTTGAAATAGTCAAATAAAATTGCACCTCCACACACACCCTGGAAAAGGCAGCCATCACCACACAGAAAGCTTTGCTTCTTTTCCTCAGGCCTCGTGCAACAGTATAAGATGCAGGTAGTTTGATAGAAGCAATTTACTTTTAACAAAACACGTGCAATAATACCATCCTGGTCTTTGTCTGGTCTCCAAGAGCTACAAACCCAGTAGAAAATAGGCCAATTTGAGAAACAACAACAGAGCTCTGTGGGAGCTGACCAGAAAACAAAGACAACAGCAAGGTCTACAGAAGCTCAGAGAAACCCGTAATTAGAGCCTCCGGGCACAGGAATCGAACCTTCTAGGCACAGGCTCCCTGAGTTAACAGCAAGAACAGCAAGTTAACAGCAAGTGAGGAAAGCAAGCTCTCTTTCCAGAGCCAAAGAGCACCAAGATCAAGCTAACAATGCTATTTCATGCATGACAAATTTCCGACAGAAGATCATTTCCGCGTAGGAAAAATGTCACAGCCTACAGTCTGATCACCAGATCTGACTATCTGTGCAACTTCTTGCCTTAGATTAAGAAACAGTGTGGGAGGAACCTGATCTTGTTGAGATCATGCTCTCTTTTCCTCCTGCTCTCTGGCCTCAGAGGACACAAGTCTAGTCTAGCACCGCTAGAAGAAGCAACTGTGGGCTCCACAGGCATTCTTCCCAATGAGTTGTCCTTCCAACATTGGTCGCTCACTACTTTCGTCTTCATTTCAGGATAACTGATAATATAAAGACTACTGCAATCATTACCAGAAGTGTGCAGAGATTGGTAGGGTTCACTATTCATTGCAATAAAACAAAGAATGACTTGACTCTGCAATCCTATAGGATCCCTTCTATGCTTGAGTGAATAAACCTAGGCAGATAATCCATATAGGCAAGAATTTCACCACACAGCTGCACCATGTTTGAGTATCTGTATCACATCCATTTTTGCCAAAGCTTAAGGAAAAGTATAAGCAGAGCTTGGCTCTGTTGGGTTCATGCTCTTCCTTATCAGCCGATAAAAGCTTCCTTTACCACTTGACGGTACGGTGACAGAGTTCATTCAGAAAGAGTTTGTATAACTTTGTGAGCTTAAAGGTTGATTATTTAGCAGAATAATACTGACCTAGTCATCCTCTGAAATAATCACAATTATCCCCAGTTGTGTAAACAACCTCACAAATGTCTGGTGGCTGCCTGACTTGGGAAGAGTAACCAACCAGCCAGGATAAAGTTAGCAGAGAAAACCTGCTATAAAATGCTATCATCGAATAATAGCCCAGCCTCGTAATACTTAATGCGTATGTAGGACACGATAATTTAAGATTAAAATATTACAGGTTTTGGTAAATGAGTGTTAAGATCTTACCGTGGCGAATTGAACCCACTGTCGACGGTGATGCTGCTGCTGTCCATGCTGTCCAGCCTTGCTGAATGTGTGGCTCTCTGGTTGTTGCTGTTTTCCGTTTCCTTTGGAGCAAGGAGAGTCAGATTCTTCTCAAACTTCCTTTGCAGGTCTCTTTCTTTTTCCCGCTCAAGAAGCCACTGCATAGTGCCCACATCATCCCGGTTCTTTTCTTCTTCAGCGTTCTTGTTGGTCCCTTCGTCAGAATCGTCATCATCCGATACGTTGTAATAGTCAAAGGATGCCTCTTGGTTCCCGGCTGTTTCTTGCTGTCTCTGTGAAACAGGTATGACTTGTGTTACTGAGGTCACCATAGCTTGCTCGAGTTTGTCGCATCTGCCTGGCAATGCATCAGAAGGTGTCTTTTGATGAGGTTTTAGTAGTGGCACACTAGGCTTGTGGAAACTGTTCACAGACAGAGTACTGTGGAGAGGCTTAAAAAGTGTGTCTTTACTAAATATTTCTTTCCTCTTATCAAGGCTACTAGATTCCGTGTTGTGGTGTTGAACCAGTCGGCCATTTGCAATCACTTCGGGGGTTTGGCTAGTTGCAACTGGTCCACCGCTGCTGTTTGGCCCTTTAGGTGACTCCTCTTTGTGCACCCCAGGCTCTCTGGCTATGTGCTGAGACTGCCTTTCTGAGGGAGACACTTTTTTAACGCTTTCTGTCAAAATCACTGTGTCGTGGTCTTCTTTATTTTTCCCCAAAGGTGAAGGAGCAGTAAGTACAGTTTCACTAGATGTGTTACACTGAAAATAATCATCAATTGCTGATTTCGTTGTACAGGAGTTGAGCTCATTATACGGGGGCAAATTCTCGGCTGGCTTGCTTTGTTCCAAGAGGCTACAGGAAATGGGAGTTTCTGCATTGCCACCAGTCTTTTCAGGTTTAACTACTTCTTTGTAGTTTGCAGATGACATAAGAGCCCTTTGATGACTGAGTGATTGAGAAGGCCTTAAGGTGCTATCGTCAATGTACGTTTGGCTGGTTGTTTGGTCATCTTGACTGCAAGCTTCAGCTATGTCTTCAGGTGTACCTAAAGAAGGAGCACCCAGAGGTCCTTTGGAGTTATCCATCGATCGAGACCGCTCCTTGGCTTTATTAGACCTCTCATTCCTTGATCTTCGGTCCTGTGTATGGCTGTGGCTTCGATGGACCTTAGAATGGGAGCTTCCCCTTGAAGGTTCAGGAAAAGGCATTTCAGTTCTCCTTTTGGCTAGTTCACCAGATACATCCCATTCAGGTGTCATAGGAAAGTGAGATTCAAGAACGTTAGGGCTGCTGTGCATAATAAAATTGTCCCTCTTGTGTTCTATTATGAAACAGCCTTCGCGTGGGGACCTTGTGAGGGGATCATAGAAATCATACTCTCTTTCACCCGGAACGTCCAAATGGGAGCCCTCTGAAGGATCCCCTTTAGAGACCCGAGTTTTGCTATGTGACCGAGATTTCCCATGAGACTTCCTATGACTTCTACTCTTTTTGCTTCTCCCACTGTGGTGAGCTGAAGATCCAGCTTTGCTTCGTTGAGCTTTTTCTTCTTCAAGTTTCTTCATTAGTGCAGTGTGCCTCATGACATTTTCCACAGTTAGATCTGGGTTAATACGCCTAATAATCTCCATCTCTACCTCCCTAGGTATAGTGGTAGGGGTATCTTCATCCCTCAAAGGCCATTCTTCTGGAGGAAACTGGGCAGAAAAGTTGGCCAGCTGTTTTGTCTTGTCCTTTTTGAAGCTTAGTCGAAACAATTTTAGCCCAAATTTCTTAGACTGCTTTTCTCCATCCTTAGGCTTTGTAAGTGTCTCTGTTTTATACGAAAAATTTACAGTACTTTTACTTTTTTCAGTGGGTGGCACCTGGCACATGGAAGGGGGGCAGTAGGAGTCCTTGCAGTCTTTTGCCGATTTCCTCTGTAGAGTGGAGGCATGCATGCTGTGCATGTCTTCTCTACAACAATGGCAGGAGTCGCAGTGGTTTTTGGGTAATGTCCGGTCTCTGACGCAGCCCGAGGTGGAAGGCGTTATAGTTCCTTGCTGTGGAGAGGTACACTGAGACCTGTCAGGTATCCTCTCATCCAGATGGTACCATTTACTGTTAGTTCTAATAAGGGATGGTGTTATAAAATAAGTCTGTGGGGTCACAATGAAGTAGCCATCTGGTGTTGGGTATATTTTCCTCTCCCGTACCAGCATGTTTAAGGTATGGCGAAGGATTTCTGGACTTGGCGTTGGAACACCTGAAAACAAGAGCAAAATGTATTTATGAGTTCCTTTTAACCCTTCCCAAAGTATGCAGATCCTTGACATGATCTCAAAGATAGTTTCTGCTGAGCAAGCAAAACTTGGTCAAGCATCCTCTAGCATGTTTGCTTTTAACCTATCTCTTGCACTTGAGGTCTCTAAATTATTAACTAAAAAGGGAAAGCACTAGCAGAATGTGAAAAAATCCCCTTATTTATTTTCAAAGTGTTGGCGAACCTTAAGGTTCAAAGTTACACCTCCACACCAAGCCCCAAACTAAAAATCTTTATTAAACATTGTGGGTTCTTCTCTCACACACCACTTACCTTGATAAATATTTAAATCCTAATTAGCCAAGTTATTGCATATAACACAAAAACAAGGCAAGAATAAATATGCTGTTTTTTGTATCTGCACATGTATTTAAATAAAGAAATCATATCAGAAAATTAGTAACAAATGCCCAGGGGTAGGGAAATACACCTTAAGGAAGCCGATCAACATTTCCCTGATTATATCGTAAACTATTATCTTAAGAAAACTGAAGGTGCAGAATTCAATCTAAAAGAAAGTGTTGTTTCAATATCAGGAGAAAATCAAATTATGTCAAATTTTTCACACAATACACAGATGGCATTAGATTTTGAACTTGAGGTAAAGCTAACTGTAAGACCAATTCAGAAATGCAACAGGTTGACTAGAGAAACCGTGGAGGCTTTATGCAAAAGCTAGACAAATAAAATAGCTTCACAGTGAATATTCAGTATGAAGATGACAAGCAAAGTATCTTAAAGAGATTGTTCTTTTCCATCCCATATGGCTGAATATGCAACCAAAGAAACTGTGCAGCTGCAACGTAAGATGCTACCCAAATTACTGTATTTACACGAATCTAATGCGCTATCAAATATAATGCACACCTCTAATTTCAAAAACCTGAAAACAAAAAAGTTTTTGCTGGCGAATGTAAATGCGCCATCAAATCTAATGCGCACCCTAATTTTCGCAACGTAAGCTGGCCCAAAAAGGTGTGCATTACATTTGAGTAAATACAGTAAATTTCTATGCTATTAAAGGCACATGTTAACTTTTTAAAGCAAACTTACAAGGCATGAAGAAACCATTAGTTACCAAAGAAGACATAATGGATATAGAATACACTATTGATTTGGAAAGTAATGGGGGGGCGACGCCAACCAAAACCAAGATTCCAAAATAATCTTACAACAACAAATCAAGCTTGTTTCACCACCCATCCTAAGGCATGTGCTGCAGCCATCCCATGCATAATGAAGGCTTTTAGATCACTTTCCTGCTTATGTCTGAAAAAAGTACAAGAAAAAGTGACAGTGTGAGAAAATTTGCTATAAAATGTGTTAGGCTGTGCGAAAATTTTTAACACCATCTTAACGTCATCATACAATCATGAGATGAAATCCAGTTATTTGAAAAAAGAAAGAAAAAGCTTTCATACTTTTGGGGAAAAAATTCAAGCTGTGGAGGCACACTCTAAGTGCATTACTCATTATTCCTTTCTAGATTTAATTTAAACTTAGCACTTTTTCGAATTTGTCACCTTTTTCAGTCACTGGAGGGCGAGTGGAAAAGGTGACAAATTTTAAAAAGAGCTGGATTTAAGCACTGGCTGGAAAGAAAGAACTGGGAGGGCATTTAGGGCATGCTCCCGATTTTCCCTTTTGAATTTGGCATGCCTGAAGTCATGTGGTGAACATGTAGGCAAGGTTTAGGTCAAATGGGGGGGAGGCTTATAGGCCGGCGTTCACCACCACTGCGCTCTATCATAATGGCTCAAATATGTTAGGATACCATTTCAAAGCAACATTGCTGTACCCGGCAGAAACATCTTCAAAAGGCCTAACAGTACAACAAGAATTAAGTAGCATAATTTAATCGAGCCTCACAATTTATTACAAATGCACAATCCATTTTAGTGCAGTGGCCTGCCAATTCTCCCCCTCTCTCTGCACCCTCTTGTCCAATGTGCTACCTTCCACTGTGTTTTAAAGGAGGCGTTGCAAACCTTTTGAGAAAGAGCTGCAGGCAGCGGTCACAAAACAGCAGCCATAAGGGGCCTAGGGTAACGAAACATTAAAGAGAGCACAGTCATTGCTGATTCCTCCTCCCACCCCAAAAACCTCAGGCTTACCATGGGAAGTCAGCTATGTCCTGTTGGTACCGATTGTGGAGATCCCACAAAATTGTTTTCTCCCCCACCACTTCAGGAAAAATATACAAGGCAGCGACAACATTAGTTCTCTTACTCACCCACAGACATACGTGCCCCCCCTCTCTCTCTCTCACACACACACACACCACACATAAACATATCTCAGTGTCTCCCACAAACCACACATAAATGCAGACCACATATTCATACCTACCTACCTACCTTTAATAATAACACCTCTCCCTTTCACTGACCACACATACTGTATATGCATAGGTCTGTCTGTCCCGCACAGAGAACTCATACACTTCTCTCTCTGTCTCTCTCCTCTTCTCCCTCACATGTATAGGTATCTGTAATGAGTATGGGTTGCTCTTGCGTAAGTTGCCGCCTCTCCTGGCTATGTTGCCTGGTTAAACCTTTCTGTCTGGACAGCCCTTCACTTCGTGGCTGCCTCAGTCGCTAGCAGAATCCATCAGTGGGTGTTTCTTAAACCTTTTCCAACATAAAAGTTGTTTGACGCCAAGTCTCCTCCTACTCTCCCTGCGCGGAAGCCTTCTGCGCAGGGAGGGCGTGGGTAGCGGAGGACCCGTGCTCTCCCCGCTGGTGTCCGGTGAAGAGTCCTGGAGCCCTCTCGCCGATTCCCCCATCTGCCCCCCTTTATCCCTGGTGTTGCGCTGATTTGCTTCCCCATCTGCTGAGCTGCCTCTCTCCCTGCTGGGCCCTTCTCCAGCATCATTTGAGAGCCTTCCCTCCGCCTCTAGCTCCGATGTCAGTTCCCTGACAGTATCCAAATGATTTTTTGGTAGGAGGGGAATTTCCAGGGCTACCCCATTCCTGCCCCCACAGGTGGGTGGGTTCAAAGTAAAATACTGACAGTCAGGAGCAGGCTAATTTCTCGCACAAAATGAGAAGCTGCCTGTACATTCTGCCTCACATCTCACGCTCTAAAAATGTTAGAAACGTGCTCCTTAAAAAAGAAGAAGCTGGGAATCTGAGGGTTACAATTAATCAAAACCCCTATTTTAGAGGTATATCTCTTCAATACTGGCAAAATAATTAATTCAAATGAACCCTATAACCATTGCCTTATATTATACCCATTTTAAAGTTAGAGAAAACTTTATAGGTTAAATGCACCCCAAAGATCACACAAAATTCATGTTACTACCATGACTAGCAATCAGATTAGATAAACTTCTATTAAAATATATTTGTATGTCTAGTTCATCTTCAAAAGCTACCTCATTCCTACACTTTACCAGTAAATTCTTTCAATGATAAAAAATAAATAAAACACAGTGAAACCAGAATTTAAAATACTGCTTGACAGCAGCAGTGTTATTTAAGATTATGTAGTGCTTTAATAATTCAAAAGCAAAATCTGTCTGGACACTGAATCATCAGACATGTACATTTTCCACATCTCAAGAAAGTGTGCTGTGCCCTCCACTGAGCTTCCAGACAGAAGATTATGTCTTGTTTGCTGGCCACAAAAGAAGGCTGACCTAAGGTGAACCCAGTCAAATGTAAGACACATTTCAAGCTGCTGTGTGTAAATTGGATGCAATTTAGAAAGGAAATGTATAGGAATCCTAGTTTTAGAAAGAGGCCACAATGAAGCATGGCAGCTGTCAGAAAATGACTTCCTCACTTCTCAAGGTAACAGCAGCATTAATAGTTATATTGCATTTCAGTTTACTGTGCCTAGATAGTCCCATACATTATGCTAATTTTGTAGCTACCTTGACAGTGAAAACGGCCAAAACGTCTTCCCTTTTGTTGCTGCATTCTAATGACTGGCACCTATTCCATTTGCCTTCCCTAGCTTGGGCTCAGGAAGCATTATTCAATCTCCCTTCCAACAAATATTGAACATAACTTTACATAAAACGATTTCTTTTAATAAGATAATAGGCATTCACCGTGTTTGCCTATTAGGAAGAATTGTTTTATGTTCATCATTATAGTCAAGCTCTGCCAAGAGATTTGTGGAATCTCTCTCTCCTCTATATATGAGGATAAGCATGACAAGTGGAGGCCAAACTGGCCCTATCCAACAGCCAGAAAAGGAACAGTTGCAGCGTCATTGCTTCTTCACTTCCTGCACGGAAGAACACTCTGCTCCAGCTGGGAGCATTGAGCTGAAGGGATGTTCTCCTAAGGTTACTGGGAGGCTGCATGCCTTGCTTCATAGGAAGAACATCACAGCAAGGAAGAGATCAGCTTGGCCCCATCCACTGGCCGGTGAAGATGCAGAATACTCAAGTGCTTTCTTGCCTTCCCATCTTGTTTTCCTTTTGTATCATGTCTGTTAGATGGTGCATGCCCATAGGCTCATAATCTTATCTTTTAGTAAATAGACAGTACTGTGTAATAATAATAATAATAATAATAAAGTAAAGGTAAAGGGACCCCTGATCATTAGGTCCAGTCGTGACCAACTCTGGGGTTGCGGCACTCATCTCGCTGTATTGGCTGAGGGAGCCGGCGTACAGCTTCCGGGTCCTGTGGCCAGCATGACTAAGCCGCTTCTGGCAAACCAGAGCAGCGCACGGAAACGGCGTTTACCTTCCCGCTGGAGTGGTACTTATTTATCTACTTGCACTTGATGTGCTTTCGAACTGCTAGGTTGGCAGGAGCAGGGACAGAGCAACGGGAGCTCACCCCGTTGTAGGGATTCGAACCGCCGACCTTCCGATTGGCAAGCCCTAGCCTCTGTGGTTTAACCCACAGCACCACCTGCATCCCTAATAATAATAATAACAACCACTTAAATGCTTTAGTTAATGAAGTAGTAGCATGTTCCCTCTCCCTTCCTTTTAAATAAAGCTAACCCTAAGGTATAACAATAAAGGAGGCATGTTCTACTGGAATTGGTGTTTATTCACTATGAATACAGATTTATGAAAAGCAAATTCCAAATACTGTACTAAAACTTCTAAAATGATCCCCCCTCCCCCCGAACTGTCACTGTGGCTTAACAAGGGGTAGAAAGAACCCATCCTTTGCTCATGATATACTAGTTTAAGATGTACAGTGCTTGCAATGTGAGGTTATAAATAATTAGTATACCTTATTTCTGATATAGCCATGACCCAGATTTGTACCTGCTCTGTTGCTCAGCAAACTAGGTGGCTATGTTGCAATGTAAAAACCTGCATTGAGGAAGCACATTTTTCTTCTAAGGCTGTGGCTTTGAAATTACTCAACCTTAAAGAGTTGTGTAAAAAGCAGCAAAGTAGCAGAAGCAGTTTGATAAGTGCAGCTTTAGATGGGCAGCCAGTTTTTGAACCAGATGGGCTGTGGGTTGGTACCGGTTTTCACAAGCAAATGCCAGAGCAGTTATTAGCAATTCTGATGACTATAGGGGTGATCTATTCTTACTTTCAAGTATTTTGAATACCATCCTTCAGTAAATATTCTGTGGGTGGTTTACATAAAGGGGGGGGGGGGGGAGAGAAACACAACAAAAATAAAAATAATATGAAAGGACTCAGTTATCACCAGTAATAACATCTGCAATCTGTGATGGAAACAAAACAGCAGTGGTATGAAAATGTTTATGTAACCACCACAAAAGGCCTATAATATGAAACAGTTCTAAGAATAAAGGGTCCAGTAGCCACAAAAACCATCTGTCCACAGCGTCTCACAGGACACTATGGAATGATATGTTTGCTTGATCTATTCTGATCGTACAGCATCATTTTAATTGATTCCAAAGTATTATTCTTTAATATTATCTCTGTTAACATTATTGCTATTTTTCTTACTCTTGCTATATTTGCAGGGAGGGCCAGAAACACATTTTTCTTATAACAAGCCATTCTGAGAAGTGTTTGGACATGGTCTGCCTGTCCCCAGGGTTTTCTCCATTTCTTACTAGGCAGAAATTAGTTGCCCAACTTAGTTTGTATCAGCATGATGGAAATTTCTTATTAACATAACTTTCCTTGATTGGCTTTTTACAAGCCCTGTCTTTTTGCCAACTTAGGTAATACTGACTGGTCCATGTCTTCAAAAGAATTTGGCATCTTCTGTCAATCCTACAAAATTCAGATTTTTAGAAAATGTCCAACCCAAATCTCTTACGTGTGTTCATTCTGTCAGCTGTTGGCATGAAACTACATTGTCTAGCTCTAGCTGGTACAAATCCTACAGATATATATTTTCTTGCTCTTTTTATTTTATTTTTAGATCTGTATCCTCTTGCTGAACTGGAAGCGGTAATCCATGGGATTGCTTTTCATGTTGATGATATATTAACTTAAATATCACATGCTGAAATTGTCTTACTTGAAACGGAGTAGAGAAATTTAGTCATTGGAGAGGTTTGTGGATTACAAAATGAGCATACTTTTAACTTTTATATACATACAGACAAGCTGGCAGCTGTGCATGAGCTCCCATGTGCTAGGAACAAAAACCAAGGAAAGAGCCAACAGTTGGAAGAAATTATTTATTAGTTGGGTTAAGTAGGTGGTTTGCAACCTGCATGAATTGGCACTCCCGGTTATTCCACCTATTCTATAAGATCTCTATTCATAGACTTTTGTGTGGGTGAGATCAGAGAATAAAAGAATTAGAAGCACTATTGCATTTCTGACTATGTCCAGATCTGCTCTTAAAAAGCTGTATCAGCAAGCTCTGCCCACCTAGTTGTGGAAGCTCAACTATTAAATATGGAAAAGAATAAGATGGGGGGGGGGGAGGAAGAAGATTTGAAAAGCAAACATGAACTCAAGGACAGACAGAGAATTTAAATGAGCAGTTAGTGTTCACAGAGGATTATGCTTTATAGGAAAATACTAAAGAAATCAATGTTTTGGAAATCAAATCATTCCACAAAAGTGGAGAACACACCCCTCCAATAATATTATAAGGCAAGAGAAAATTGGACAAATTTAATTTCCCTTTCAGGAGAGTAAAACTTTCGCAAACACTTTCTTTGTAAAATCAAGTTCAGTATAAATACCCAAATTTTGATTGAAAAAGTGAGATCCCATGAATATTCTACTTGATAGAACAAAACAGCTAATTTTCCACTCTTGGTTCTCACTAGATGATACTAGTAAGTCATACTAATAAAGATGTGTATTTGCAGATCACTGGATTCTTTTCAAAATATCCATAAAAGAAAGAAAGAAAGAAAGAAAGAAAGAAAGAAAGAAAGAAAGAAAGAAAAGTGAGATCCTTTGGCATTACCTCAGGAGGGTTAATCCCCAAAAGGAATCTTTAATAATAATGATGATGATAATAATAATGATGATGTCTGCTCAGAAGCAAGTCATGCTGAGTTCAACTGGGCTTTCTCCCAGGTAAATGCGTGTAGGATTGTAGCATAAGGGACTGTTGTTAATTTGTCTTAAAGTCCATTGCAAGTGCAGCCTACAGAATATGCTAATGGGTTGAGAAATCTCTTCTGGAGTATATTTTCAGCTGATAAGCAAAGTACTGTACTGATGTGTATAAATCCAAATTAGCCATCTGAAATATTTTTAATCTCAACTGTCTAGTGGAAGTGTTCCTTTCTTTGGTATTTCATTCTTTTGGCCCTTACTGTAGCACACCAAGTTGTCATGCAGAAAACATTGAGATATACTATGCTAGAAAGTAACGTGAACTTTATGTGCCCTCTCCACCGCCTTTCCACCTCCAACATGGATCATTAATTTCACAGTCTTCTGAGAACACTGGCAACTCACCTTATAAATAAAGCCACACGTGAAGAGCAATAAAAGAACTCTGCTACAGAATGCAGCTACAATCCTATGCAAAGTTACTTCAGAGTAAACCCCACTGAACTAAGTAGAATTTATGTCTGCAAAAACAGGATCAGGCTGCATGTCAAGTTCCCAACACCCACCCCTAAAAAAAACAAAACCCAAAACCCCCCAGCATTTTTAATTCTCTAATATTTTGAACTCTTTTTAGAGAAGATGAAGGAAGTATTTGAAACATACTATAAAATCCACACTCACATCTATTTAGAAAGAAAATCCTTTCCATGCACATATAATTGAGAATGAGGTGACAGACAAGCCCTGATTCAATATAAAAAGAAAAGCAAGTGAAATAACCTGAATATACATCATTTCAAAACAGCAAGCTTGTAAAACTTTTACAGGTCTTTTGAAATGCTTTGTTTAAAAATAAGGAAAAGAAAATCTGGGTCAATGTGAGCACAGATACATTAGCATGTATTTTACCTGGGAAACAGGTTGTTAGGTGTTCCATTAGCGCTTCTTGCGTGACTTGTTTTCGTGCTGAGTTCATTGCAGAAATGGCCAAGCAAAGGATTTCCCCAAGTGGGATAAACTGTGATTGACTGATGGGAGACATACTGATGGGCGATACATCACCTGCAGAGAGAAAATATTTTGCTTAAGTATCCTCAAAGCAAGCTGACTATATAGACACAGATGTTTCCAACGTAGTTTTGGAATAAAACCTGGACAATAGAAGAATAGAGAACATTAAAACAACAACAACCCTAGACTATTTTCACAACAGAATTGACATTATTAAAACATATCAATCCCAAAAGTCTGGTTTAATAGGGGTGGTGGTGAGGGGGTTAAAATGTACAAGTCTTCAGGAGTATGGTGACATGAAAGGCTACAAAAAAAATCTTTAGGAACAGGCAGCCTCCATTTTTCTATATAAAAAAAACCCCTGCTCTCTATCTTTAAGCAGATTGCTCGACAATTCTATAAAAAAAACTCTAGCAGAGGGCTAACATTAACTACTCATTTTAGTAGAATGAAACCACAAGTATTGAGAGGACTGTCAGTCAAGAATGAAGAAGCTGACAGAGAAATCTGATGGAAGTTTTTGGCATCTGTATTTGACCTTATTAGGTCGTTTCCCCAATTTTTACCCCTTCGTCATCTTCTTTAAAAATCTGTGTAAAATCAGTCAATTTTTTAAAGAGCAATATAAATACCGCATTGAAAAAATATGGAACCGTTCCCTGTGATAAGTGATTATAAAGGACACAAATCCCATATGCATGACGTTTCAAAGTCTGCACTTTACCTACTATTTCAAACCTAATTCCCATTGAGGTGGTGAATTTGCATCAGCATCACTGGCAGGGATTCATAAAGGCGACAATTTAATTTGAGATGAGGAGGGGTGGGGAGGAATGGGGGGGGATGGTAAACCATGAGTACATCTTTCAAGTAATGAGGGGCTTCAAATTTACAAAAATACAAAGGCTAATAAGAGAATTTGTTTTACACACGGTATTGCATTGATTGTAAGTGCAAGGTGCTTTCTTGTTTACTTAAAAGCAATATTAAAGTCGGTTCTTATGAGAAAGGATTTTAGATTCATGCAAATGATTATCTTTGTTTCATTTGTCTACACTTCCATATCTCTAGCTGAAGGAGAAGTCACATGCAGTGAAGTGTATGCAATTCCCCTGCCTGAAATTGCACATGTGGAACCCATTTTAAAAAATGAAACCCTCCCATCAGCTGTTTTAGTTGGAGAGCAGGGGTATGGACTCAGCCTCTCTTATTGTCGCTTTCTGAACAAACATCTGGTTATCAAGAATTTCACCTTCAACACAGACTCCCATGTGGAGGCCCAGCGGGTCTACATGCTCTCTGCTGGACTGAAGCTGTGCTTATGATTATAAGTGCATGGGACAAAATCAAATACTGCTCTAAATGCACTTAAGCCCGATGATTTCAGGGCACTTAAAGGTGTCTAACTCTACTAGATTTTGTGTTAAATAGTTGCAGCAACACAACACAGGGTCTTGGGCATGTTAAATACACAAAACAGCCACCAACACACCACTGCACTGGATTCTGGCCACTGCATTCAGTGGTTTGACTTAGGATGCAGCTATTATTTTCTATTTAAATCACTTACTATTACTAAACAAATTGCTTCTGAATGCTTCTGCATACCTGAAAACTCTACTAAATGTTACGACTCTACACAACTTATTATAAAGTCAAACTAAATAATGAATAAATATTTGCATGGGCTGACTGCCTTTTAAAAGCGTAACATAAGCCACTCCTTTTTAATTCTTAAAATAATTTTTAGTTCTTGTTTATCATGACAGGGGAATTCTCATTTATTTTCACTGCTGACAGAGTTAATACAATAGGCACTCTACAGATGTCTATGAGACATTTTGTGGTTCCTCATCTCAAATATTTTTGTAGAGCTTACAGAGAACCAGTGACAGCTCCTCTTCATCTCACCTTCAGAGGTACTAATTTGCCATGTTTTATCATACTCTTAAAAATAATATTTGCTAACACTTATCTTCTACGTTATTTCAGATCAATTTTAAAGTCCATTTTTCTTCTTAATAAAAAGTTGGGTAGCTTATTTCTTCTGAATACCACAACTCTTACGGAGCATGGAGGCAGGGGGAATCAACCATATGGCTCCCATTAACTTGGACTGATGCTCGCTTATAGCAGCTCTCCTTCAAAATTAAATTACCACACTCAACTTTCCAATGTTTATGCTCCAAATTAAAGGGCAAGCTGTGGGTAGGGGGGAGTGCTTTTGCAATTTGACTGTCCAGTTTGTTTAAATGCCCAACAATTGGTTTTATCACCACTACTACTAACTGAAAGGAACAACAGTCAACTGAAGAAAGCAAAGCTTTTTCCTGTTACTTTCTTATCATACTAAGAAAACAACCTGAAAATGGCTACCAAACAGAATTTGCTTGAGTAGAGAAGATGCTTCTTGCAGATGGCTACATAAAAAACTGCAAAAAAACAAAAAAATAATTTAATAAGAAAGCTTTCTAAATGATAAAAAATGGATAATAATGAATGGGTTCTTAAGGAGAATGTTATTCGAAATATCCAGTTAGATTCTCAGCATATACTTTCCACCCATTTCCTCCAACAGTATTTCTCAAACTTGAACTACAACTCCCATCATCCCTAACTAGCAGGACCAGTGGTCAGTGGATGATGGGAAGTGTAGTCCAACAAACAGACTTAAGTTTGAAAAAGACTGCAAGCGTCTCCTATGTCTTCCCTCAAGGAAGGGTCCTGTTCAGAACAAATTTAACCACAGAATATAGTTCACAGAATACAACCCAATTATGCATCATTTCCACCCCCCAATAAATTTGTTTATAATATAGAATTATTGCATGCAGAGTAGTTTGGTTGCTACTATCAGGGGCACACAGTTCTGTTTGTCACAACGGCAAGTGTTTCATTCATGTCCCATCCCATTTATCTTATCCTTTCTTGCTACTGGCAGGACTTTGTGGAAACTGAAGAGATAAGGGGTAATGGAGGACATCTCTATGAGCTCCTTTGGATAACCAAACTATTTGATACGTGTCCATTAGCCAACAGTTTAGTGGTAGTATAAAATACATCAGATGTACCCACTCTATGAAAAAAAGATTTGATTTGGCGGGAAAGTTTTCATTTCATAGGACAACTCAGTACTAAACAACAACTTGCTTGCTTTCTCTCTCTCTCTCTCTCAATGGGAAAGTCTTATCTCAGTGGTAAAACACATATTTTGGGTGCAAAAAGTTATAGGTTCAATCATTAGCATGTCCAGGTACAGCTGGGAAAGATTCCTGTCTGGAACCCAGGAGAACCATTAGCAGTCAGAGCAAAAAATTGTGAGTAGGATGGACCAGTGCAGTATTTTTAAATAGTCCATAGCTATTTAAAAAAAAATAAAAAATATGATAAATGCATTTTCATGTGATATTAAACTGAAAGTATTCATCTTCTAGATTCCTATTAATAACATTACCTTCTTCATTCTAAAGCAAATTAAAATTTTCCTCTTTTTTTAAGATGAGAAGTACTCATTCCAGAAAGAGCCCAAGCTTTCATAACTGAGGCATATCCTGCATTAGCTATAGCGCCATACTATTTTATAATATTTTGGCTGATAAGTTAAAATGGTATCCTGACTTCAAATTAAATTTCACATATCTTCCAATTTTTGGAAATAAATTATTTCTTATATAATGCTCCCTTTTGCTCTCTTTTAGTCAGTTTTTAAAAAATTCATACACTTACAAATAGTCTCCGTTTTCCTTTTTCTTCTTTTCTCTTCCCACCCAAATGTCACTGACATTCCACTCCGCCCTTCCCTCCCACTGTCCCTATACATATGTCAACAAAGAAAAGAGAAAAGAAAAACACAAAACAAGCCATCACAAAAAAACAAACAGAAGCACAAACCCACACATATCATATATTTGGAACACAGTCCATTTGCTTTGCTTGCGGTTTAAAACTAAAACTATTTGGAAAGTCCCTTTAATGCCCTATAACTGCTGCTTTCTAAGAACTGAAACATGCAAGATCCTCTTCAAAATGTTATCTCAATTCCTACCGCAGCCCTGCTTTCAATATACAAATAATATTGGGTCAAAGAAACCTACCAAAGTGTTCTAGAACACCTCAAAATATAAGTTATGCCTGAGACTTTAATTCTGCATTTCTCTCCCAGTTTGCCTTACATTTTTCTAGCTCTACTTTTTGAACTGCATCACTCTAAGTCAACTCTTTCATTATCTTATTAGATTGTTCAAAGTCCTAGCCTTGGGCAACCTGCAACTTTATAGTGGAGAAGCAGATGTTTTTATATGCTGATTGGCGAGACCTGGATATTGGGTTTTTCTTCCTCCCAAGTCCTGGGAGGGATGAGCCACTACAGGCCACTCTTGAGAGCCCAGCAAGTTTTGGCATGCTCCAGCAGACGCTCCAAGTATCAAATGCTTTCTCCCATGTAATACTTCTGTTTCACAGCACAGAGTGTACGGCTGCCTCTTGCAATCTTACAGCGAAACAGTGGAAGCCTTCTCCCAAGGAAGTACCAGAAGACAGGGTTCTTCTTCCACCCAAGTCATTGAAAGGGCCATTACCAGGCATACCTTAGAACTTAGGGAGAGCAGGAGCTGTCAAAATACCCACAACCTTGTAAAGTCTATGTTCCAGAGCACCCACATACTACATTTTCCTTAAAGTATATGCTACCCTTTACATCAGTGTATCACCTCTTTAGGTCCTTTCAGCAAGGGAAGCTTTTAATTTCCAGTCCATGAAAAGCTTCCCTTGCTCAAATGACCTAAAGAGGTAATGGTATGTATGCCAACCTCATAAATGAGTCCCTTTGAGTTTAATTGGGCTTATTCTTGGGTTATTGAGTGGCAGCCTAGGCTCTGGTTTAGGAGCGGGAATGGGGAAACCAAGGTCTTAAACAGGTGTATCTTTGCAATCAGGCACAGCGGGATATAGCTATGGAGAAGCATCAATGATTATACACTCACCAATTTTGTATCATGCCAAACCCCGTGGCAGCCATTTTGTGAGTGGCGCCCACAGCACACTCTCAAAATTTGAGATGTGCCCACTGGTCCAAAAAGAGTGGTGACTCCTGCTCTATAAGCCAATCAAAAGCAAACTCAGGTAAATATGCACACATAAGACCTGAAAAACCTGTTTGAAGACACACTTCAACTTTACTAATAAAAATAGAAGTTATGCACAATAATTTCCACTGAACACTAATGCTCTGCTCTTCATATCACGAACAATGCTGCTGTCAGTTGGCCTCTGGTGACAACAGAATAGTGAAAGTTTCTATGCTGTGTGGAGAACTTCTACTGCTGGTTAAGTGGCACCCAGCCATTGTTTAGTATCTATTTATTAAATTTATATCCCATCCATCTGCTTGCACTAAGACATGGTTTGGCTTAGCGTACATGCAAACTAGGTCAGTGGAAGATTAAGACAATAAGCATTTGCATTACAAATTTCAAATTTGCAAGTTATATTCAAAATTATTTTCAAAAAGGGTAATGATACCATCAGGATAGGACTTTGGGGCAGGGGACCCAGTTCACACTCAGTGAAGCAGTGTTGGCATGCCACATTTTGAAGTAATACACCACACCTTACCATCCAAAGAAGCTAAGACCATTTATTCCAGAGTGCAAAATTACGTAACTGAACCACTGAAAAAAGGGAGCTGGGAGTGCATTTAACAAACAATCAAGCTTACATTTAAAGCTAGTAGTATAGTTTGACCTGTCCAAAACAAACTTCTGAAATTTCTATTTATGCTAACATTCCTTCATACATGCTTATCTTAATATAGCTTGACAGAATATGCTGACTGTCCAGGTACAAGATAAACAAAGGCCATCAGTGGATTAAAAACATTAGTTTAGAAAATTACAGCATTTACTATTTGGGTTTTGTTTTCAACAAGAACTGAAGTATTCTCAACATGCGCTGTTTCAGGTAGAGTGAACAGATGTACAGAACAATGGCTAAAGTTCAATGGATGGGAAAAGTCACACCCTCAACATCCCTTTTTGCCAGAAATAAATATCCAAAATGATGAAAACCATATTTTAATATATTTTCCCTCACGTTCAATGGCTAGCCAAAACTCCAATGCCATAAATTCACATCTTCTAAGCACATTTTTTTTAAAAAAGTCTATATAAAATACAGAGCATGTTCTTCACAAAACCTAAACGAAAGACAAAAAAAGTTTTAAAAGGCTAAAATCATACTTTTCCAAGATTTTAAAAGCAATGTGTTAGTAAAACCACACAACATGCTAAAATGGAGCAGTCTTTATCCCCTTGCAGATATGCTTCCTTCATCTGCATGGACAACCACACCAGATACAGACAAAAAAAAAGATACAATATTATTATGAAAACATCTATTTCATAGTATAAATGAAGACAAGAGTCCACAGGAGTCTCTGAAAGACTGCACTGGACCTGAAAGATGACAAATACACCTTACCTTTAAAATCGGGCTATGATCAAGAACACATTACCTATAAATTGGTCACAGTTAAATAATTCAGCAGTGCCTGGACAATTAAGAGTAGATGTCAACTCATCAGACCGCAGAGCACACAGGCAAAATTAAGTTAGCTGGAAAGGACTTTAGGAATGTGGCTCCTCATTCATTAATTTGCTTTACAGTATCTAGTGCAACTCAGCATTTCTAGACCAGTTCTACTTCTACTTTCTGGAATGGAGGCACTCACAAGGATGGGGGAAGTAACACTGCGCTGCAATGCCTCAGGATTCTGCCGTGTCATCTTCCGCCTGGATCTCTGCAAAGTGAAGTCATATGAAAGCATTGGCCAACCTCACTCTTCACCACCAAACCCAGAATCCTTTGTAAGCTGAAATGAGTAATTGCTCTGGGAAAATGCTATCGCACAGCGTTCCAGGTTTCCCAGAGAAGCTTTTGGAAAACTGCCTAGGTGCACTGTATAACAGAAACAAAACAGCTAAAACAGTGGCCAAAATAACCAAGTAATCACTAATTAGTTACCATTTTAACTCCTAGAGTTTTTGAAGGCGTAGATACTGTCTTAAGATCTAAAACATGTCAAGTGTTAATAATTCAAATACGCATCAGCTTCTAAAATAATAAATTAGATGGCTGGTTCACTTACCGGCTTTTATAATACAACCACAGATTCCTGAACGGTTCTCTTTCGACCATAGAAAAAGAAACTGCAGTCCACTTGAACAGTACAGAATTGGGGGAGGCGTGGCTCACTTTTGAGTTTAATGGTGGCTTAGCATCAAGTCTCCCACCGCCACTGAGCTTATATTGCTTCAGGCAATGGCTGTATTGAGAACTAGACAACAGCAAATCTGTTATGCAGTGGGGAACCCTTGGGAGGAAAGCAAAGATGGCCAAATTGAGCAGGGAAGAGGTAACTGATGAGAGCATGTCTGAGCTGTCAAACACGGAGGCCATAACTAGCATGGTGCATGGCAACAGCAAAACAACAAGGGGTGTGAAACTGACAAATGTGGCCAAGGACAAGGGTGAAACCGATGAATTCACTGCAAAGGTTAGATGGACATTAGCTGCTCAAGTCAATCAAGGCTAAGTTATAGGATCTCTTCTTGCAAATTGTGGAGTTACATAATACTGCAAATGAAGCTATGACTATGAACCTGGACAATCAGGCAAAGGTAGACATTTTAAAAATGGAGGTGGGGGATCCATTGGCTGTGCTTGCTAGAGCTGATGGGAGCTGCAGCTCAGCAACATCTAGAAAGTCAAAGGTCCCCCACTCCTGCCCTAAAGATAGAACTACAACTTTTCGGTGGGGTAGCCAGACTGCAAATAAACTACTCCAAGTGTATATAATACAACTAAATATGTCAGAAGCAGAGAAGAACAGTCCTCAGGCTTCACTTTGCAGGACTCACCTGCTGCTGAGGGCCTGAAGGGCCTTGCCTGCCTCCTTCCATCTGGGCAGAGAGGGCTCCGTTTTTGTTTTTTAAATTGCTTTTATTTTTTATCTATATCATCTTAAATTGTAATTGATATTAATGCTGTACAGTGGTACCTCGGGTTACAGATGCTTCAGGTTACAGACTCCGCTAACCCAGAAATAGTACCTCGGGTTAAGAACTTTGCTTCAGGGTGGGAACAGAAATCGTGCAGCGGCAGCGGGAGGCCCCATTAGCTAAAGTGGTACCTCAGGTTAAGAATGGACCTTCAGAACGAATTAAATTCTTAACCCGAGGTAGCACTGTATTCCTAGTTTTAGATTTTATGATTTATGTGGAAATTGTTTTCCATTTGGTTGTGTACTTTTGATGTGTTTTATTTATTGCTTATGACTTTTGTTACATTGGTAATTATGTAAATCTTGCCATGTTGTAAGCTGCCTTGAGCATTGTTTTAACTATGGAAAGGTGGCATACAAATAAAATGCTGCTGCTGCTGATTTTAGTGGGTTTAGGTACTTCGGGGTAACAATGCCCAGTTGAGAAACATATTAGTGGGAAATTGTATGGGCAGATTAGAAGGGAGATGAAAAACTGGGATAACCCAAACTTGTCATGGTTTGGGAGGACAGCAGGCATTAAAATGGCTATACTGCCAAAGCACTACAGTACTTCTTTTTCCAGACCCTCCCTGTCACTATTCCAAATAATTGATTCTCAAAGTAGCAGTGGCTTTTGAATAGCTTCACAACAAGAGACAAGAGGAGCAGCTTGAGTAATGCCACATTGTACAGACCAGGTGACAGGGGTTCTGGGAATGCCTAATCTAAAGCTGTATTATGATACCTTCCTGCTGAAGCATCTTACTCATATTATATGGGGATCCCAGGGAATACAATAGGTGCAACTTGAGATGTATCTTTCAATACCTACTGTATCATCTTTTCTGCTTTTCAACCCATCATGAGCAATAATACATAAGATTAGCAATCCCTTTTTATGGACATCTTTGCAGGTCTGGAAATGCTGGAACTCCTTTTTAGCTCAAATACAGCCTACCATTATTCCAATATTGGACTACTTGACGTTTTGCTGCCCAGACAAATATGATAAATTGAAGTGAGGGGGAGTTAAAGGGATAATCAAAGTAAAATATAGAATTATTAGGGGCTACCTGATGACACAGCATTCTTTGCAAGATAAATTACAAGAGTGAAACATAGCTGGTTTCAAATAGCACAACTAATTGCTTTATAATTAAAATTTGTATCCACCAATCATCTGAAGATCACAGGGTGGTTCAGTCTAGTTCTCTAACCAGAAGGGACATGGGTCTTCGCTCTCTCACCTTGGTTGAGCATCATTGGGTGGCAACAAGTTTGTATTGCAAAAGCATGACTTCTGAATTGTACAAGGTATTAAATGAACTGTAAGATTTCAGAGCATGTGGAAAGGTGACTTGGAAACACTAATCGAGGATGAGCAGTGGGACAGAATATAGACAACAACACCCCCCCCCAAACAAACTTAGCTAAAATACAAGAAACCACAATTAAACTACTTTTAAGGTGGTGCTTTATGATTAAGGGAGTCTCAACTCTGTGCTGACAAGAACATGGGGGATGCGGTTGCTACTGCACATGTGGAATTGTGAAATACTTCAGACTTTTTGGTGGCAGGTCTTTGAGGATGTGGTGCCAAGATCATGAAACAATTTTTTTGTTTAGACCTTGCGTTATTTTACATACAGAATAATAAAATTCCGAAAACAATACATAAATACTGAATTTGTATGGTTCTAGCAATCACCAGCTTAAAATCAGACCCTCTCATAACATTTAACACAACCTCACAGGGTAGTCAAGGGAATGTCCAATCAATTTGATGCAACATGGTTCCTGTTTCTTTGTTTCATCAACACTTGCAAAGATGTTATTTATCCTCCAGCCACACATGCAACATTATGGTGTGGATGTGTCCACACAAAAGAGTAAAGTTTTACTTTCCTGTTATTGTAACTTTCCTAACTCACCTGTTGTGGATGAATACCGTTGTGATTGATTATTATTTATTATTCATGTTGTGTTCTGGAAAATTGTGGAAAAAACATTATTAATTTTATTTTATTTTTACAATAATTCTCTGTGTTAAATTCACTGCTAAGGGCTGTTTGCCAATAATTCAAACTGGTGAACAAGTCCTTGCAGGCTTGCTTCTCATCATCCTGTTCACTTTTTTATGCATGCACCAAAGAGGAAGCCTTGAAACCACGCCAGTAAGTTGGCAATTAAATGTCAAACAGCTCCTAAGACAGAAAGCCAGCAAAACGGCTGCTTCTCTTGCTCCTGACAAAGAAGGTAACATTCAGAATGAGGTCACTGTGTGAGGTTGCTCTCAGCGTGAGATTTGTATTTCCTTTGCTAGGAAAGACTCCTTTGCTAGAGTCCGTAACATTCTATCTGAGAAAAAAATAACTCAAGGCATGTCTGGGCTTATAAGAGGCTGGATTGCAGCGATGAAAATGTATTTTGTATCCCGTGTGTTTGAGTTAGGGGAATGGTGAGTGTAGCACCTATCACATGCAAGAAACAGGAATTTGACATTGATGGAGGGAAGGGGAAATTATATAGCTTGCACCAGTCATTGGTGTTTTGTGTGTGTGTGTGTGCGCGCGCGCACACACACACAATTTTATCAAGAGGATCTGTCCATAGCAGCTTGTGTTCTATTTTGATACCTAATCTAGAGAGTTTGACCGTATCATTCTAAATGGAACTCAGCTTTCAAAACTTTTCTGGGCTAGTAAACAATTGTGCTAAAAGGTTAAGAGTTTGAAATATGGTTAGTTTCGTTCTTCTCAGGCCTTCTCTGTGATGAGATGGTAGCTGTTTTTATTGGCCTGCGGCACAATAGCTCATCTGCCATGCGAAAAACCACTGGAATGTATCATACCACATACCTACTGAGCTCCAAAGCCAAGCTTCTGTGTCATCTAGAGGAGTCAACCCTGAACCAGTGTCTCATGACTAAAATGACAGACAAAAGGTAATGAGAAGAACCCTGCAAATGTGTTAGTCAGCCAGCAGTCCTATTAACACTTCAAATTAGCTTACCATACTTTCAATGGCTCTACCATACCGAGGTCTCCTCCTCCTCCTCCTCTTTCTGTCAGCCTGCTACCCCATAACTTCTGCAAGTGTTTGTGAAGACTTTGATTTCTAGAAAAGTTCTCTAACGTCTCATGATCTGCTCACATTAAGTGATGGTGTGATGCAAGTGTAGTGGACACTTGAGTTGTGAACGTGATCTGTGCGGGAGGCACATTCGCAACCTGCAGCATTTGCAACCCGCGACCCACACGTCTGCACACGCGTGAGTCGCGATTCGGTGCTTCTGCGCAAAGCACGATTTAGCACTTCTGCACATGCACAAGCGCCAAAACCCGGAAGTAACCCGTTCCGGTACTCCCGGGTTCGGTGCAGTGCGCAACCCGAAATCACGCAACCCAAAGTATCTGTAACCCGAGGTATGACTATACCAGCTGCTCACCTCCCCTGGTTAGAATTCTCGACTTAAAGCCAGTAATCAAGATGTCTACCTCACCCATAAGAATTTGTTAGCTCTCCATCTTCCCCTGAATGAGTGTCTCCCCGCTTTAACTCATCTAATATGTCCTGTCATCACAAAAGGACAATTCTTTTCAATTCACTGTTTGCAGAGGTTAAGAATATTTGGATATAGAAATTAGATACAAAAGCTTCTATTATTGCAGACCATTCCATTCTTCCTAACAAGTATAACAGGTAACAGCCCATTAAAATGCTTTTAAGTTGTTGTGTGTGTTTTTTTTTTACTTTTAAGTTTTTAAATCCTTAATCAAGTAACATGCTATGATGCCAACAGAACAGTAGTCAGTATTGGCAAACTATCTGCAGTATTAAAAGGAACATTGCTATGTGCATCCCTAAAAATAATCAACAGAAGAGAGGCCAAAGAAAAGAAGAGATTTGATACTAAAATGTTTATAATAACCTGAGAAACTGACTTAGTATCTCAATCTTCAAATTAGGTAGGATTGTTGGAGAAAACAAGTCAAAAGCATGCAAATGTCCACATCTGAGAATTACAACCAAAAAAGCTAATATTTTTGCAGCTGAAGGGATTTGTATTCTGTATCAAAAAGGTATGTCTACCTAGCTAATGATAGTAAAACCCTCCACTGTGCTTCACCATTGTATCCAGTTGTCCAAGAAAAACTGCTGGTCCCCTACAGAAATATTGTGGAAGCACAGCCTTTGTATCATGCCCCCAACCCTAATTCTTAATTGCAGTAGACCAAAATTTCCTTCTGCTTACAAGTAGGTAGGTGGCTGGTCAATGTAAATTAGAAGATGACCGCAGTGGTATCTGAAAAAGCCACATTATTGAGCTAGGATAACCTTGGAAGTTTTTTGCCTTAGGCCAACTTGAGGACTTGGCAAATGGTGCAAAACAATCTGTATCAAAGCAGCCTCTTGAAAAGGGTCTAGCTGATCTAAATGCAGCAGTTCAGAAACTTTAGGAAATACTGGTCTGGTTTGCACAGCACACTAAGCCATGGTTTGTTTACCAAAATACATACAAATCAGAAACTGTCCCTAGTGATCAAACTGCAGTGCACATTATTTAGGATGTGGGGGAAAGCACAAAATGAAAACGGTTCAGACAGCACAGAAGAATTTGAGAAAATAAGTCGCTTTCAAGAAACAATGAAAAGGAAGCACAACATAATGAGTTTTGCATTGGTTTTTTTTTGTTTGCTCTTTTGCATTTGACTAACCTTTGCCCTGAATCAGCCCATGGCTGCACTTCAGTATTATTAATGATGCAGCACAGAGCAGCAATCCTAAATAAACTTACAGTGTGCTTTTTACTTATAGTAGGATTTACCTAAACATGCATATGATTGTGCTGCAGGTCTCATTTAAAGTCTCTGATTTAAAATGTGCCAGAATAAACCTGCCACAGATCTGCACCTGGAGCCCAAATTGGTGTGCTGATAAACCACTAGAGGGAGTATTCCTTGTGGCCAAAAACCTGCCAATAGAAATACATTACACAGCTGCTGTTCCTAGGAAGTATTTAATTATGTGCTGACTTGCAAGTTCTCACAGATTTTTGAGATGGGCAAAGAGCATAAAGAGCATATTTGCTTGCGCAAGAGTGTTTTCTAATGCTTGACAGTTCAAAACCCAGACTAGTTCAGGAAGGTTTTTCTAAAGAAAGCAGAGAAAGAGGCACCATAATGCAAGATATTCAAAATCAAAGCATATGGCATATTCACTTGATAGCACAAAGAATCAACACACTTAAATACATATTGTTAAAGAAGATTTGTTTATCGGTGGAAATTTCTGAGAACCGCTTTCAGCTTCAAAGCTGGCCACTCTTCTGTGAAACACTTTTGACAGGTGAGTGTATCTTGTGAGGTCAGGTAGAATCGTGTCCACTTTTGGCAGGCGTCAACTCCACCCTGGAACTACCAAGCGGAGCCAATCTCGGTGAGGCCTGCATTCAGCATCAGTTTAAAAGCCCCACAGCCAATGAACAATCACAAGCATGCCTCACCCCTGGCCTAAACCAAAGGCAAAGGCATTTTAGTTTAATTAATGAAATGAAAATCACTGCTCAATATTCAAGGTTGTTCTGAGTGGTAGTCAGAACACCCCTTTTTGCATTTCTCTGGTTATATGTATATTGTTATAACAATCAGAGAAAAAAACTAGTATACAACCATCTTTCTGTGAAAAAGAAATCATGATTTTGTTTATTATTCTCACATTTAAATGGGAATTTGAAGAACCCTATGTATAACCCATTAGCAAAATGTGGCCCTGTTACTGTTCTTCACTAGCATACTAAACACAAAGCCTGCTATTTAAAAATAGCTATGATACTGCTGTTACATGGACACACAAAAATGCATATCCAAGCTATTTCTTAAAAAAAGATAAAAAATCAAGCCTTACGTGTTAGAGCAGGGGGTTAGCAAACTTTTTCAGCAGGGGGCCAATCCACTGTCCCTCAGACCTTGTGGTGGGCTGGACTATATTTGGGGGGGGGGGATGGACAAATTCCTATGCCCGACAAATAACCCAGAGATGCATTTTAAATAAAAGCACACATGCCACTCATGTAAAAACACCAGGCAGGCCCCACAAATAACCCAGAGCTGCATTTTAAATAAAAGGGCACATTCTTCTCATGTAAAAACATGCTGATTCCCAGACTGTCCATGGGCCAGATTAGAAGGCGATTGGGCCGGATTTGGCCCCCAGGCTTTAGTTTACCTACCCATGTGTTAGAGGACCTTGGAATCCTGAAACATGCAGATGACAATCCCACACAACACTGCATGTGTGTAAACCTCAGTGACTGTCTGTAGGTTTTTAATCACACAGGTAACACCAGATTAGGGCAGCCTACCCAGTTTAGCATCCTGACATTGAACAGCTAAAGTTGGTGTTTTCCAAATCACTCAAAAAAGAGAAAGAGGTAGCTGTGCTGGCCTGCAGCAGCAGCAGCAGCAGCAACAACAACAAGAACAAAAATCCATGTTAGGGCAATATCCAAATCAGAATTATTTAAAAAAGTTAACTTATGAAGAATTAGTGCCCAAATCTGCTTGTTTTTATGTTCTTTTTCTGTTACTTTTATATCACATATATTAGATCAGAAGCCTGCAGGCAGAGATTCTGCTTTTTTCACATCTTTGCACAACACTTAAAATTTTAGCTGTTTCATAATGCATAATAGTAACCACAGCAGCAGCAGGCAGTTAAAAGTCGTATTTGTCATACTTTACTTTTAAAGTGCCTAAAGGTATTAAGACACTATACAATAATAACCACAGGCTTGCAATCAAAATCAAGGGGGAAGTCGTGACATATTTATCGCTCCCAATGTCTCAAATAGACTAAGAACCTCCTGGACTTCACAGTATCTACACCACATATGCCCACCCCAACCAGTGGGGGGGACGACCAACAAATGCATTATATTTTCCACTCTTGACTGTGCTGCACTCTCTTTTCCTGATCGTTCGCCACGCTTCCTGATAAGTCACACATTCCTTCTCCTAAATAAGGAAAAAAGAGGAGCAACTCAGCTGCTTTCTTGCATCAATGTAGCCACATGCCAAATTATTTGTCAGGAAAGCGTAGCAAGGCATGAACTGCACTTCCAGAGACAGATGACAGTGTACTGCAGGAAGGAGGAGTTGTGTCAATATATTATTGTTTCTAAGCTGAACCAGCTAGACAGCATTGTCCCAGCAAGCACTCCCGTTGTGGGTAAACTGGAGTTGTCCCAAAATTCATTCAGACTGCCAGCCAAAGTTACTGTTAAACCCCTAATTCTTGGCTCCAGTCCGCTAGGCTGTTTCCACAACCTTTACTGTGAGGAAGGCTGTTGTACTTGGATCGTGGGTACCTACAGTACAGTGCATCTTACCATCATCATAAAACACCAGAAATTCCTCCCTGGTACAATTTTGAATGTCCTGCCCGTAGATCTATTTTTGCCCTAGCTGCTTCTTCTTTCACTACCTGGGAACATGCACGTATATAGGCTTAACAGAGGGCAAAATGCACTACCAAGCATGCCCAAAGTACAATGGCAAAGCTGCTGAAGTTACAGGTAGGTAGCCGTGTTGGTCTGCCGTAGTCGAGACAAAAAATAAAAAAAATCCTTCCAGTAGCACCTTAGAGACCAACTAAGTTTGTTATTGGTATGAGCTTTCGTGTGCATGCGCACTTCTTCATATACACAAGTGTGCATGCACATGAAAGCTCATACCAATAACAAACTTAGTTGGTCTCTAAGGTGCTACTGGAAGGATTTTTTTTATTTTTGTTTCGAAAGCTGCTGAAGCTAGCGAGTGCCACATTAAAATGCTAAGCTGTGGAGTCAGATGGTTTTTGCTTGTTTTGTCTTATACAAACAGCTTCTTTCTACTCCCCTTGATTTCTTGGAACTTGCTAGCCCTCCTTTGGCCTCACCTCCTGCACATATTAAAGCTACATACCCAAATGAGGGCAATATGTGGATTTCTATTAGCACATACAAATCTGATCGTTATGCAGCAAGTTGCTTTGATTTGGTTATGCAAGTGCTCAAGGTAGATGCCATGGGCAAACAGACATGCAAGGAAACAATGCCTTAACGTTATTTATCTCAAAGTATAAATGCAACTGCAATGGAAAGCAAGCAATTATTTCACCAAATCTTACTGGCTCACAACATATACATTATACAATTCTCTCCCCCCGCCTTCTGCCAAAAAGGGGACCATCTGATATTCAATCAAGTCTTAACTACTGTAGGCAAGTTTTTTTTACAAACACAGTATGACAGTATTTCCAATGCTTTTCAGCCTTTGAAACAATGATGATTAGTTTTAAAAATCATCACAAACAACCATTAGCATCCTACATCTTAAACATTTCTCCAAACTATCAAATTCCTAGAATTACACAGATGGGTTTCTCACTGCACACTGGGATTACATATTCACAATTTTACATCTGTGTTAAATAACTGAACCACCCAAATCCTATCATTCAAATAGTGGCATAACTTGGGTCTCTTCTTCCAAAGGTGACCAGAAAGTAACTCCAAACTTTCTTCTCTCCCACATCAATCCCTTTTATCACGCTTTGCCAAAGGAGTTGTCAGCGCATCTTCAATTATGCCAGCACTACGTAGCTATGCTGAAAGCAGCTCATCCCAAACACTGCCAATCAATCTGCCCACAGATAAATCTTAAATTGCTCTCCTAAATTCCCACATCCCACTACATAAATATACATAGAAACCATATAAAGAGTACTGGGGAGGGGGGGTTTCAGTTCAAACGGGAATGAAAATAATCTACACTGCAGCCTTTCAAAAGATCCAAGTCCGTAATCCCAAAAGATTCAAAAGCATTACCTCACCGTTGCTTTGAGACAAACTGAGCATTCACTCCGGGTCCTACCCAGCATTCCCTGGTCCACACAAAGACAACAGAGGTGTGACCAATCACATTGTGGCTAGCAGGCGCTGTTTGAAAGCTCCCTCCCTACACTGCCCATTGACATGCTAGCTGGCAGCCTGCTGAACCTGTCGTCATGGCAACACATCCCAGCTGCTCTCCACTGAGGCTTGTTACATTACTCAGCCCCCTCCTCCCTTTTCACCACTCACTTTTGCTAATTAAAAATTTAGGCCTATGTTTTGCATGTCGGAAGGAAACAGAAACAAAACACACACTCTTGCTGCGAAAGAGCTAAAAACACACATTTAAAGCAAACAGAAAGTCTTGCGGCAGCCAATCAGTGGGCAGCTGTACAGACCTGGACAGATGGAACTTGTCACTAAAGCTCCTCTTTGTTTTTGTAGCAAACACGCGCAGACCTAAAGATACTCCACCCAGATTCAAACCTTGCAGACCTCCATGAAATACATTTGTTTTGCTCTCTCTCTCTCTAAAGATACCATTTCTGCTCAAAGAGATTGTGGAGAGTCCTCTGTGTTAACACAGGACCAATAAAATCACAAATTGCCCACAGGATAATCAGGCATTGTGTGGGATAAGAACCTAGTTAAGCCGTCAATATAGTAAGTGAAGCAATGGGGTGGGAGAAAAAAGCAGATGGGACAAGGTGAAACTTCCAACATGCAGCTTTTCCAGTGGACTTCCCTTGTTGCACAACAAGCAAAAACAGAGATTAAAGATGCAACCATAGACACATTAACCTGGGAGTGAGTCTCAATGAACAAAATGGGACTTACTCCTGAGTAGATCGAAAATACATGCTGTTAGAAAGGATACAGGATACAACAGTGGAAGATCCTCAGATGTGAAAAAAGAGATCAAGGGTCTTTTCAAATAAAAAAGGGGGCAATAAACATTATTTTAAAAAGCATGTTCAGTGAGTTAAAATACGCATCAATACGAGAAGGAAGAGGAGGAAGTTCTTTTTTTTTTTAATGATATTTATTGAGAATTTTAAGATTACAAAGAAACAAAGAAAAAAAGAAGGAAAAAACAAGTAACAATTAAACAATAAAAATCAATAAAAATCAAAGTCAAAAAGAAAAAACAAAACACATAATACATCAAAATCAAAAAGCAAAAATAAACAAAAAATTTAAAAACAAATCCAATATTCCCAAATCCTTAACTGTCATTACCTTATTTCATCGACCTCCTCACACCTCCCTTTTTTGTATTCTAGTTGTTAATTATCTCAGCAAATCCTTTCCATCTTTCATAATATTCTGTCATTAAATTACCTTAATCTATTTTAACCTTATCTTACCATAAAAACCCTAAAACTTAAAACTTAAATCTTATTTATACCAATTTCTCTTAACCATAACATATTCTTACATAATTCTTTTTAACATTTCTGCTAAAGCCAAATAATTTCATTCCAACATTTTTCTGATACTCATTAATTTTACAAAACTTTCCTAAATAAATTTTTTAAGACTTTCTTCCAATCTTCATCCAACGTCTCTTCCTCCTGGTCTCGGGTTCTGTCAGTCCTTTTTATCCCATCCATCTAGTCCATCAACCTGGTGACCTTATATCCGAAGCTCTTAAGTCTTTTCCATGTCCCTTCCGCGGGTCTTCTTCATATTTATACCTGTACTTTACTTTGTCTTCTGCTCCTTTCACTCGAGGAGACTCCAGCTTGACAATATTTTTGTCCCTTCTCGACAGATCAGCCCCTTTTCCATAGTCAACACTGAACTCCATGTGGTATTTAAAAACATGTTTCACTCGAGGAGACTCCAGCTTGACAATATTTTTGTCCCTTCTCGACAGATCAGCCCCTTTTCCATAGTCAACACTGAACTCCATGTGGTATTTAAAAACTTGTTTCAAGGTCCCTCCAAAGTTAAGGGCCCCCACAACTCCGAACTCCTCCCGGCCCAAAGCCAGACTTGAAAGGTCAAAACATCCCTGCATAGGGGGGTCTATCCAGCCCCCCATCTCCAAGCCAAACAAGACTCTATCTCTCCAAATCTGGCTTTTTCCAGGTTCATTCGTCAAATCCAACAGCTCATGTTCCTGCTGGGCCACAATTCCCTCCATCTCTGCCTCCCAAGGTCCAACAACAACCTCCTCCCTCCTCTGATCTGTCAGAGCACACTCCTGGATTAATTCCTGAGTGGGTTCTATATAGGTACCCACTACCATTTTCGATCACAACAGTCATCAAATCCATCTTCTCATGTAACTGTTCCAATAAGGCACTTGTCTTGCAAAAGGCAAGCACCAGAGCCTCCGAGTACATTCTTGTTCGAGGTCAAAGTCTGGTCCCACGATCTTAATCTATTGCAGCTGCGAAGCTCCCCAGTTCGGATTTAATAACAGTTTCACAAGCTCCCTCTAGGGGAAAAAGCTTCTATTTGTATCCATCTCTCTCTTTTTTTTTTTTAAAGCAGATCTAACAACAAAGTTTCCTTTTTCAGATATTTTGTCAATATTTTGTTCCTTTTAGATGCGAAGGGGAACAATGGAATCAATATGTTTCTCTTCTTTTAACTACCTGTCAAAAACGTTTGTCTATAGTCAATGAACTTCCCGAGGATGTCTGTCCTGACACCCCGCTCCCAGGTTCAAGACGGTGGAAAATTGCTTTTCTTAACCCTCTCTTCTGCAGGTTTAAACAGTCCAGAAAAAGTTCCCCCCTCTTCTCCTGCTTCCAAGGGGGGTTCAGTAATTTTAAATGATGAAAATTGATCCTTTACAGACGACTTTCTAAACTCTAGCTTGCCGTGTCTTTGCTTCAATCTATCTACAAAAGCGGAAGGCGGACTTCCTGTTTAGACCTTCCCGCTTCAGTGCCAAATTAAAAGAAATTTCTTAAGAGGAGGAAGTTCTGTGCACAGCAGATATCTCTGGCAGCAAACTGAGTTCATGGAAAGTCTTGCCTCATCTCAACTCCGTTCATGACTGCAGTGTCTTCTGTTTTAGCCCATCATTTATGGTTCCATCCTTTCACCTGTTTCTTTGTCATCTTAAAGTTCAATATGTGGTCAAACCACAGCCCAACAAGACAACAACAAGAACCCGCCAACAGCATTTGAATCAATCTGGCTAACCTGCTCCAAAAAACACCCACCCGCCCCCCTCACACATGAAAACAAATTTCACTACAGCCCATCAAAGACAACCAACCACACCCTAGGCCAACCCCAACCTCTCTCACCACCAAAGGAATACAAGCAAATAAGAAAGCCCACATGCTGACAGAAAATCCCATGCGTACACTAAGTAGAACAGAAGCCCTGCCACCCAACTCACTCACCATTCCCCCCTCCACCTCTTTCTCCCTTTTCTTCCTAATGTAACACTAATGTCTCAACTAACGAAACTGATCTGTAGAAAATGTGACTTGAAAAAAGACACTGCACATACTTTTGTAAACCAAGAAATCTTTAATAAGAATATATTATTTTTTTTACTAAGTGATCAAACTACACAGTGACTACATTCACACAAAACATAAAAACTGCTAGACAATCCGACTAGAGGAAATAAGTGGGGCCTACAACAAAACATTAGTGTGGATTACTCATGACATCTTCCAGGATACTCCATTCCATCCCCCTTCCTCCTACCAATTCAGAATTATGTGGCTCAGTGTTTATTGGGCTATATTTTTAATCCGATTATGTATTTTGTGGTTTTATATTTCAATTTTATTCTGTGAACCGCCCTGAAACCTCCAGGTATAGGACAGTATATAAATTTAATAAATAATAATATTGGTGGGCTTGCCTCCTTTGGTTTTCTTCTACTTCAAACTTTGGGGCTCTCCCAAGCATGCAGATACCTCTCTCATTTTCTAGCGGCACCATCTGGTTACAATTCTGTTGACAGCATCTGAATTCAATATTGGAGGAAGTGATGACATCATCATCTGCTCAGGAGACTGTGAAAGTCCTCACTTCCCACATCCCCTAGAGTCAATGGGTGGCAAAACTTTTTTATTCATCGTCAACTGTTGGAGGTAGGAAGAGGGGAAGAGGCTTGTCAACTGAGGCACAGCTGATGTGTAAAAATGGACATGATGTGTAAAAATGGACATGGACAGGTGTTTTTAAAATAGGGTAAATTGGGGGGGGTTCCACAAAAACTGTTTGGCATCACAAAATTGCATCATGGGACCCACTGGAGTGGTCAGTAAGAAAAATAAAAATGGACAAAACTGGAGAATACATTCCAGTGGGGTATCTAAGGGAGCAGGGAGTACAAACATCAAAATGATTTCAAAGGTGTGTTCTTTTTTAATTGAATGTGGAAAAAAGGTGAGGAAAGCTTTGGCATTACGGTACCACGGCAAAGAACCCAGAGGAATAGTAAAAAAGAAGAAGTTTAATTTGTTATTATTTTAAATGACACTTTGGGTAGGGGGATTTGAGTTTCACACAAAAACCTCTTGCAGGGCTGAATGTGGCCAATGGTGCAGAGATTAGCCCCCCTGCCCTAGATATTGTGAAATCTATTTTTATGTAAACATTTAATTGGGCTCCTTTGGTATACAAATACAGTGGTATCTTGGTTAGTTTATGAACAACTTGGATTAAGAACGCTGCAAACCCAGAAGTAGGTGTTTTGGTCTGTGAACTTTGCCTTGGAAGCAGAACATGTTGAGTGTGTTCCATTTGTAAATTGAGTCCCCCACAGCTATAGGAAAGCACACCTTGGTTTAAGAACTGACTTCTGGAATGGATTAAGTTTGTAAACCAAGGTACCACTGTAAGCTTTAGTAATGTTTTTGACCAGGACAAAATAAATGAAGCAATTTTGGCAAAATCTTTGACTCTCCATCTTCCTGTCCACTCCCAGCTTCTGACAGCTTAAGTGATAGCCTAACTATGAAGAAGCCTTTTTGCCATGCAGCCTAGGTAAAATATGGAAGAAAGGTATTGAATCTCTGAAAACAGATTGTAACATAATAATTTTCCAGTCAGAAATGACTGGAAATAACAAATCAAAAATATGACCTAACCAAAGCTTGGGAACACCCTCAAATGTACATGTCAAAATTGTGTCTCATTTGCAGGTAAGTATAATGAATTGAGTATGGTTGATACCTCATGAAGTTCACATTTTTAAAAATTATTTATGGGAAACTAAGGATTTTTCAGTCCCCAAAAATAATGAGGTAATGTCTGAACTTCACCTGTGAAGGTGAGTGGGGGGGGGGGAGATACCTGCATGTATCATCCCTGAGTTGCTGTCAAATGCTATAAATCTGGTTAATATTTCAGTAGTGTTGAATCTCTCATATAAGCAATCATATTTGTGTGTGTGTATGTGTGCGCACGCGCACGTGTGCGCATGCTGGGAGTTATTTACCAACTTAAAAGACATGTTTTTTTAAAAAGGTTGTCATGTGAACAGTATCTCAAATGAAATATTTGTTTAAGTCAAAGGTCATTTAACAGTCAATCAGAGTGTTTATTTTGCGATACTCATGTTGATTTTTCATCAGAGCACAAGCCAAAAGCAGAACATGTAAACAAAAGGCCTGTTTATTGAAACCATTAAAACTACATGTAAGAGACATTGTGATGAGTGCTCATTCATAGTAAGAAGACTACTTCGTGCTGCAGACTGTGTATATCATCAAGACTATAGCACAAATCTCCACAGTGGGGAAAACTTCCCACAGCAGTATCCAAGTAATGAACATCTGGCCAAAGAATGAAATGTGGGACACCCAAGTGATGAACAGCAGCATGAATCATTTTTGAGGGAATGTAGCTGTTTAGAAGCAACTAATGAAGAATAGCGGAGTATTGCAAAACTCAGCAAAATTCACAACCATACAATAGCAGACACATCAAACACAAGCTTAGAACACTATGGGAACAGTATTGCCATCCCTGGTGAATGTGGTAAAGCTGATGAGGTGACATGGAGAAATATGCTTTACCTCCCTCTCATGACTCTAAAACCTGTGAATAGCCAATGAAGCCGAATGTGTATTGATCTGTAGTTAAATTGAGCTGTAGTTTGCTAGTTTGTGGCCCCACAGCTTGCGTCACGCTTTGTCCAACTGGCCCAACCTTTTTTGACACATCCTTTTCTAGAGCTTCGTATACAGATTCTGACTCTGTGGGAGATACTCAAATGCTTGTTCCTCAATATGTGGGATACACATATTTAAAACTTGATGCCACTCCTGTTATGTTTTGCTGCAGTTTCAATTACATGTATCTTCTGTAGGGTGATGTCGCCTTCTTTTGACTTCGCACCATACCCTTGCAGGTTATGATCATCTTTCCCTATCCCCTTTTTCTCTAGGTCATGCATAATTTTAAACACTTCTATCCTGTCACCTCTTGTCTTTTGTCTCAGCTAACAAGTTCCACATGCTGCAACTTTTCCCTAGAGGAGATGCTCCATTCTCTTGATCATTGCGGTCACAGTTTACTGAACCTCTTCCAACTGTACAATATCCTTTTTGAGGTAAGGCAACCAGAACTGTACACAGCATTCCAAATACAGTTGTGCCATAGATCTGTATAACAGCATTATGATAACATCAGTTGTATTTTCAATTCCTTTCCTATTGACCCCTAGCATGGATTTCACACTTTTACACTCTCAACAACTTCAATGAGGTATCCACTATGACCCCAAGGTCTTATTCCTGGTCAGTCACAGGCAGTTCAGACCCCATGAACATATATGTGAAATTGAGACTTTCTTACCCTAATATTTATCACTTTACACTTGTTTACATTGAACTTCATTTGCCATTTTACGGCTCATTTACTCAATCTGGAGTCAATCCTGCAACTATCATGTCATTTCGTGTGATACACTGTTTTTTGATGCATTTATCCCCAAACCAGGTTCAATCCAAATTGACAAAAAGAACAATCTAGCTATGTACAGAGCTTTACTCGCTACAGTTGAGTGCCTATTTATAAAAGTGTGATACGGAAATAGCCATGGTTAATTTTTTAATAAGGACTAAAGAATTCATGGGTTGTCGTTAATAGTCTGCAATATTCCTAAAATGGGAAAGCAACCCAAAGAGCATAATTTAGTGACTGTAGTGTCCAAAATAAATCCTTTGAAGAACTTACAGAACTGGCAATTCTTGGAAATAGGCAAGTGGGCTACATGCGTTGCTTTACCTATCCCATTTCCCATTGCTGACAGCTAACTAGGTCTATATTATGTGGAAGAACATTTGCAGCTTAAAGGTTATGTTCAAAAGGAGATTTCTAATTTATGTTTTTGGGACGTAACAGCATATTCACACCAACATTTTATGTGGCCTCTTATAAATGATTTGGGGGTATTAAGTGAGTCTTAGGGATGTTCTACCATATAAATTTATCACACCTTGGAAAATTTCCAGAAGTGGATGGAACCAGGTCATAATCTCAACACGCCTGAGCATCCACAAGGTTGGGGGAAATGATGCCACTATCCATCAAAGACGTAACTGGGTCGTGCAAAGCTGCCTTCAGTTAATTAAACTAAACACAGAAAGGAGAGGGGAGCTAAACGTGCAGTATTTCTTTCAGCCCCATTCAGAACTTTAATTTTTAGCATTAGGCTAAGCTTTTGTCCAGATTTTTCACCTTAATTTTCAACTTAAGCCAGTCACTACACGAGTTCAGAGTGAAATCTGAAGTCTTTATCAGACTGTAAAGATATAAAGCTTTTCTGTGTGTCTCTATTGTCTTCACCCAAGATGAAATAGCAGGCTACAGCATGCACTGAAAAGTCAGTTGAGGATCCATGCCAAATATTTTCAGGAACTAGCACAAGCAACTGAAGAAATGAAATTCACACCATTCTCCCCAGATGAAATCTAAGCTTGTGTACTGGTGCCTGTGGTAAATCAATTAACACTACTTGGCTCACCTTCCACACTCATTTATGAATTCAGTTTAATCTTTATGCCATACACACATGTGCATGATAATATGGAGGATAAGATCACTACTAAATCCTCTTGCGCAGACGGAATTTGGGGGTGGGGGTGAGGGGAAACAATGATACTGCTGCACTGGTGGGTGTGAGCTGGCAGAACTAAAAAATGCTGAAATGGATGGAGTAGGTGGATGGTCAGGGAGAACCAAGGCTAGTCAGAACCCTCTGCTCGCTCAGAGGTTGCTTCTGCTCCCAATGGTGGCATGATGCTATTATCTATCAAATAAGCAGTGCCATTTTTCTAGAAAAAGAGGTGCTGGAACTCACCATGAACACCTCTTAGAATGGCAATGGCACCCACTTGAGAGAGGTGCCAGAACTGAGCTCCTGTGAGTTCCCCCTGGAAAAAAGCCCTGCAAATAAGTGGTGTAAGGAAAAGCATGCCCAATGGACTCAGTCCAGAGATCCAGATGACTTTCCCCCAGTCACAGTAGAAAACTTCTGGCTACAGTGAAGCACAGCACCAAGAATCGAGAAGACCCAGAAAGGGAACTGAACTTATTCATATCACAGAACAACTGTACTCTACTCACTTGTCAAAATAATTAATCAGTACATAAGAAAGGACCCTGTGCCTAGACTTTATTTCACCCAAGTCAAAGACCCAATTTGGCACACACACACCCCTGCACATTTGCGTACACACACAGACTGGGAGCCTCAATGGCGCCCCTCTGGAGGCTTCATGCGGCTAGCCCCACCTCCCACATAGCTATGGCTATGCCAGGATCCATGATGAAGTAGCAAAAATAGTCAAAGCCAGCAATAAAGTTGAGAAAGAAGATGCATTACTCTTATGGCTTCAACTCTCATCACAATGGTACTGTCTGCAGCTGGTGCGAGTTGCAGAGCAAAATGTCTGTAGGGCACTGAGTTGAGGAAGGTTACGTTACATATATGCTGCTTCAGGATGCCAGTGTGTTTTTTAAAAAAAGCTCAAAAAAAAACCAACCTCTGGGACTTTCAAGTTTAATGCTGCAACTAGGGCTCCAGGGGCAAAGAAGGCAGCAGAAGCAAGAAGAACAAGGGGATCACTCCTGAACAACCTTCCCTTCCTCTTTCTTAAGCAGTCTAAAATAAGCACAGCATCCAAATACCCGGGCAACGAAGCATCTTCCCTTCCAAATGCAACATGGAGCAAAAATATACTGTCATAACAAACTTCCTTTACTCAACAGGTAAGTGCAGTACCAGTGGTACCCCTGGTTATGAACTTAATTCGTTCCGGAGGTCCGTTCTTAAGCTGAAACCGTTCTTATCCTGAGGCGCGCTTTTGCTAATGGGGCCTCCGGCGCGCGGTTTCAGTTCGCATCCTGGGGCAAAGTTCGAAGCAAAGAGCAGCTACTTCCGGGTTAGCGGAGCTCGTAACCTGAAGCGTTCGTAACCAGAGGTACCGCTGTATTTGATCCAAACAGAACACAGTGAACATACAGATTTCTACCCAAATTGAAATAGGGTGCACTATAGAGAGAAGGAAGGATAGGCTCTAGCCAAGGAGAAGAACAGAGATGGAGACAGCTTCTAAGAGAGTAGTGTGAAAGAGAAGGAAGAGCTGGAGTTTTGAGTCTGGCAATGGTCATTGTGGGACTTAGGAGGCCTGAGAAAAGCCAGGAGCTGAAATCAAGGTGTGTGGGGAAGAGCTTGTGACTAATGAGGCAGCCTTCAAGAAAGTTATACAGCCAAAAGTCAGCAGAATTGCTGAGAATCTTGAGCAACACTGATGGTTGGACCAGAGTGAAGACTGTAGCATAAGTCCTGAGAGAAATTCAAGAGATTCAAGGGAGAAGAGGCCACAGACCTGGTTGAAGACTGCAAATCCTCAGCACCTAGTTGAGTGTTACCTAGGGAGGAGTGGTATGGGAAAATTGGCTTTAGGTGACAGGAACCCTAAACCGTATTTGCTATATTATTTAAAGTGATTGCAACCATATAGTGTAAATACATTTATTTAAAGCAACAGTAATAATGAATAGTGTGCATGTTACCCTAAACAAACATCAGCATTTGTCTATATTAATAACCATTGTAAATAAAATAAAATAAAATAAAATTTACTTTTCTTTTTCTTTAATATTTGAGTCTCTGTGTTGTTTTGTCCAATGCTTATCCATAGTTACTGGAGCGTACACCGAGAGAAAATTAGTAGTATTGAGATATTTAGTAGCAATGGTAATAAAAGGTTAGAAAATGTAAGTAATGCAGCAGAACCATCTTTTCCAAGACAACCCTCGTCATAAGTCTGGAAAAACAGGAACTATACTTGATGATCTGATATAGTTGAAAGTCTTTACTTGGACTTTGTTATTTTAACTCATGTGCAACTACCTATTCTATGTGCCTATTTTATAGTTTTGTTTTTCAACTTTTAACTTGTATTTTGTTATAATTGTTCTTTCCGTTTTATAACATTAAAACATGAATTAATAATAAAACTTTGCAAATAAATAAAGGAAGGAAGAAAAGAAAAGAAAAGAAAATAGGTAATAGCTAAGGAAAAAAACTAATGTGCAAGATGCCGCTCGATAACAAACAAATAAGTAGTGGAGGGGCTCTCCCCGATAAGGTCAGATACTAAAGTACCACCACATGGCAACTAATAAACATTGTAAAACATTATATGCCAGTGGTAAGTCCCTGGGAATCCTTAGTTCTACAGAACCTTTATCATCAGGTTTTTTGCAATGAAAGAAATAGTTAAGGCAGACATACCTACCCTGAGACAACTTTCCCACCGCTACTGATTATCTTCAAGGGAATCTTGGGTGTGTTCTAGTGAAAACACTAATGTAATGATGGGCAATGGAGAGGCTCAACAATAACTTGCATGGACTGGGTATACATCCTATAATTGTACCCTGGAATCCTCAGTAATACATGGGAGCCAAAATGGAAAGTGCTCTTTAAATATGGAAAGGTTGACAACTACCATAATATGCTACTACGTATCAGGTATGAATATTTAGCGTACACCCACAGAACAATACCCAAAGTCATAAAGCACATGTTCCAAGGAAAACTTCCAGGACCAAATTCATTTTCGCTCTGTTAAGAACTGAGGCATCAAGACATCTATCAAGACAACAGATGAAATACAGACTGAGACTTGCAGTTGCAGAAACGCAGGTTTGGATCATATACATTTTTCCAGCAAGTGGCAACCAAGTCGAGCTTAGTTTTCCTGTTGGAGGTTGTTTATTGGATGATTCAAAAAGTGAAGATGATTAATGAGAAAAACAACAACATATGCTATATGACTCAGAACTCAGATGATTGGGGGACATGCCATAGCAAGGGCACATTAGGACGCAGAAATGGAAAATATCGTCTGGCCACTGTCACTGTAGCATTCTTCATGTTTGGTCCTCCGTGGTGTGTGTTAGAAAGGAATCAAGTGTCCAAAAGATGTCCAATTTCATCTCATATGGTTTGCATTGAACATCTGCCAGTGTTTTAGCCCCCTACTGATACACAATACATTTATTAAAGTTTACGGGGAAAGATTTTTAAAGTTTCCTTCTTGAATTAACAGCATGAAGATGGTAATGGCAAAAACAGACAAATCAGCTTCTGTGGAGAAGGTGTGTGTTTTTCAAATCATGTTTCTGAAAACAATCACAGTCTTACTAAATGGCATCATATGTTTAGGATGTGTGCCACTGAGCAGAACTGATTAATGCCTGCAAAAAGGAAATTAAAATAGTGAGAAAATTCCCACATACATCCTGCTTTTTAGAGAATACAAATATATCTTTAACTGTACGTTTGTTTTAAAATCCTTTGCTTTAGACAGACCCTGTGACTAGTGTAAATTCCTGGCTACATTTAAAGATGTAACATAAGTCTTATTGGTTTTAACAAAGCCATGATATTGTCTACAGGGTTAACTGAGACATGTGCAATTTCCATAGTAACCTCCTTGATTGTTTATTTGCCATTCATTTTTTATGATGCCCTTGAGTGCTGGCAATTCTTTTTCTCTTTTAATAGCACTCAATTATTGCACTTCATCACACCTGGCTAGGAGGTGAATGTAAAATGTATCAGCACTGCTTGGCATTTCGACAAACCTACATGAAACAGATTATGCCCGAAAAGATCTTGCATTCCCATTCTAGCACAGCCATAGCAGCCCAGACAGTTGTGCAATAGAAAAGTAGTTTTATTTTGTTTCTTTGTTGTAACAGATTTTATACAATTATAATAGATAATGTTCCCTTTTATTTGTTTTATTAGAGTCTTCCAGTTCATATAGAATAATAGGTGCTTGCATGACGACTGCATTCAGGTGCAATAACAAATCACTACATGCACCATTTGAAAAAACCAAAACCCCTTTCCTCAGGTTTGGTGAAGATGTAACATTTCTGATTTCCTAACTATGGCTAGGAGATTAATTGCATGCTTCAACTCACATGCTCCCACCCACTATCTTCATGCTTCTTGATGAAACCTCCTATGCTTTCCCTTTTTGGAGCTAACCATGGTGCAGAGTGAAATCTTCAATAATGCTACTGTAACTATGGTTAGTTTTTGCAAACAGAATTAAAAGCAGGTTTGCAAACTCTGCTTAATTCAAACTCCCATATGCATTCCACATATGCCACCAGGAGTTTGATCCTGTGCAGGCATAACATTTCTGACCTCCTAACTATGGTTTGAAAAGTAGGGTTGTGTTCTCAGCTTGCGCTTTCTCTCTTCCTCCCTTCTACTGCCTATGCAGATTTGTAACTTGTCTATACCATTAACACTGACCTAGACATAATGCTGCTACACAAAGTAAAGAACACACTAGATCTCAGATGGCAGGCTTCTGGGGTCTGGATATCACACAGTGTACAGTAGGGAATATATGGGAGAATATCATTTAAGGAAAGCAACCACAATAACATTAAAAAAAAAGAAAGTGCCCTATCAGAGCTTGGAATTTTTAGTTAGTTCGTTCTAATGGGTTTTTATTATTGCTGTTCAGTTTAAGTTAAATGCTACTCTTTTCCATTTCTGTTCCTGGTCACCAGATCTGCTTTCCATGTGACACACTACTAATCTCATCATCTACTTTATATAAATGGCTGCTGACAACGAAACTTCTCATTTTGCCTTACTGCAACTGATTTTCCTCCACAATGTTTTTGCTGCACCTCACCTTTCATAGAATCAAAGAAATGTTTGAAGGGATCCCAAGGGTTATCTATTCCAACCCCCTGCAATGCAGGAACCTCAACTAAAAATCCATGCCAGATGGCCGTCCAGCCTCTGCTTTAAAACCTACAAGGAAGGTGAGTACCCCACCTTTGCTGGGAGTATCTTCCACTGTCAAACAGTTCTTACCATTGGAAAGTTCTTCCTGATGTTTGGTCAGAATCTCCTTTCTTACACTGTAACTTGAATCCACTGATCTAGCCTCCAGAGCAGGAGGAAACAACCAGTTGGATTGGCATTTGTATTGTTTTATTTTGTACAGCATAACAACTGGTTTTTAGATGAGTTATACATTAGAAACAAGATTCACAAATCAGGTTTTGTAATTAACTACACTCCAGAGCTAGAAAAAGTAGCAAAATGCTTTTCAGTGAGCACCGCTAGGATGGTGAGAGAGGAAGCTGCTTTATACTGTACAAAAGCATCTCAAGTTGCTTAGTATTGACTGGCAGTAATGTCATCCAAATCCCACTGTTTCAGACAGCAGTACTTCCTAACCCTACCAGTGTCGACTGTATCTTTCAACAATGCCTTTATGAAGTTTTCCACCCAGTATTAGATCCAGTACAGTGGTACCTTGGTTTACAAACATAATCCGTTCCGGAGGTCTGGTTGTAAACCGAAGCAGGTTGTAACCCAAAGCGTGCTTTCGCCAATGGGGCCTCCCAAAAAAATGGGTTGTAATCCAAAAAAAGGGACACACACTTCCGGGTTTGACGTGGCTGTAATCCAAAATGGTTGCAGACCAAGGTTCCACTGTATACCTATTTGATGCAATTCACCACAAAAACTGAAAAACAAATACAAACAAATTTCTTAATATTGAGGCTAATACTAAATTCAAATGGTTGATCTGGCACAGAGGCAGTGTTGACATTGTATTTATTGGCAGCAGTCCCTCCCCATACCAGTTTAAAGTAAATCCTTATGATAACAGAACAAGGGCACTGGATCCCACCTCAAGTATCCCAGACCACTGAATTCCCGCAAACATATTCTTTTTTTTATATATAAAAAAAAGAACCATAATTAAAAGTGTGTGTTTTTAACAAAACACACAAAAGGAGATTAATAATCCAACACTCCTTGAAGGTAGATCTGTTTAGGAGAATGACTTAGAAGGGAAGGCACAATTGTATAAATAAACACAAAAAAGTTTATGATGATATAAATTAAATTAAATTCTGTTAAAATTACATTAAATTATATATATTTCCTTAAACTCCCAACATAGAAATGATACATGTATAAGAAATTGACTCATTTATGAGAATGACTACTTCTGAGGTTTTGATAATTTGCCCCCCCAAAAGGCAACACATACAACTGGAAAATTTGCATAGTTTACGCTGAAAATTATTTTTGAGAACAAGGCCAGTAGCATATAGATAACTTATCCCAGGCATATCCAATCCAAAGTCTGTTTCCGGGGACAACTTCAATCCTAAAAAATGCTCAACAACTTACAACTTTGGCTGGCCCTCACGGCCCTTCACTTCATCAAGTTTTTGAAAAAAGTTTGGACACCACTGACTTATCCTATGCAGGCACGTCCAACTCCCCAGAGACTGCGATCTACTCCCACTATAAAAATACTGGCAGTGACCTACCCATTGGCAGTGAAGGGAGGATGGGACAGAGTTGTTGATTTTTTGGGGGGGGGGGCACCAGCGTTGCTGAGCTTCTTAGTTTCCTTTAAATCACTCACCAACAGCTAACGCCAAACAAGTGCCAAACTGACATGATGGAGCAAGAGGGCAGGGGGAAGAGACATCCATTCCCATTTTTTAAAAGTCATTTTTTTAAAGATAAGGATCTCACAATTGACCACAATCGACAACAAACACCAAGGGATCTACCTGTCGATTGCAGTCGAACGGCTGGACATGTCTGCTATAGTATGTTGATCCAGCTATTCTTCCCAGTGTTGCGAAGCTCCCCCTTCAGACTATACGGGGAGCATGGGCTGCATGTCAGGGTCACCAACAGCTAACGCCAAATGAGTGCCAAATTGACGCGGTGGAGCAAGAGGGCAGGGGGCAGAGGTCGAACGGCTGGACATGTATGCTATAGTATGTTGATCCAGGTATTCTTCCCAGTGTTGTGAAGCTCCCTCATCCCATTTCTTCCCTTCAGACTATACGGGGAGCGTGAGCTGCATGTCAGGGTCACCATGCAACCATGGAACTACATCACCTCTGACCAGACTAATCAGGCCTTGAGAGCACCAGTATTCCCTAGCAGGCCACATACATGGAAACCTTATTCTTGCAAAAATTAATGTACTGTTGTGAAAAGTGAAAGAACTCTAGATTTTTGCTTAGCACCCTATTTCTATTCAAACTACTGCATTCAAAACTGGGGGGAAATCAGGTTTTTTAGACATCAGCTCTACAGAGGATTGGGCAAGGGATGGGGAAAGGACTGTCAAAACTGACAAGAAACACTGTCAAAATTTTAAGTGCTTGGGCAACTATCTGACCAGGGTTTCCCCCGCCCCCAGCCAACTGTATGGAAATGATAATGGAATAAAACCAAACCATCACACACACAGCAAAAACTCAGGCCCACAGAACCTTTCCTCATTATATTAAATATTACTTATTTGACGTTGAAGACAAAGTGGACAAAATTATTGCTTTTACATTCCAAAGCAATAGCAGATAATTAGTTGTTCTTATAAAACAAAATCCCATTCACTAAGAAGTTCCATTTTGGATACAAAAACACAATTCTGCATCATACATATATAAAATTCTGTTGCCATGCTACTAATAACTAACCTCCTTCCCTTTTCTTTCATAAGTAATCCTTCAAGTGTGGAAACCACTCTGTGTAAAATTGCAGGGATTCAAGTTAGGACGTCTGTAACCCTTAGCAGCCACTGAAGCTGCAAACGTGACACCAATGGCAAGTCCAAAATAAGCTGTGTATTGACCAGTAACTGCTACTGTTTGTTTCCCTTTCAGTGGCAAAGGAAAAATACATTAGGATGACTGAAAAGGGTAGATGCAGTATCTCTACTGACCTGAATAACAATCCATTAGAAGTTGACATGGCAGCACAAAACAACACTGAGACACACACACACACACACACACACACACACACACACACACTAGACAGACACCATCACTTCTGCAGCAAGGGAGCCAGCAGATAACACTGCTTCTGTAAGTTATGCCAGCCATCTCTGTTCCATCTTGTAGCCAGTGATTAATCACTCTACAGCAGAGCAACTCATGCAATGCAGACCATGGAAAGGGGGGGGCGGGGGACGACACCGTGGGAATTTTACGCCTGGTTAGGAAATCTTTTCATCTACCTGAGAAACTGAAAGTGGTGCAACCAATGAAGTGGAAATACAAGACAGTAGTTTTGATGGCTGGATGTGTGTGATGGCATCCCAAGATCTGCAACAAAAGATAATTGTTCTGTTTATTTAAACAAATTTATAGAGATAAGGGAACTTTTTACATTATCAGTAACTAAGTAATTCCCTGAACGCACACTCTGGGCCCTAGCCACTGACACCATGAAATACTAATGAGCCCATTTTACAGCTTGGAAGGTTGATAAATAGTTATGGGGTCCAATGAGCCACAGATGTGAAAGCATGACTCTAGCGTCACATTTGACATGTTAAACACTAGAACGCAACAGGCTGTGTCTAAGGCTCTATAAAAATAATTTTTAGATACTATTCACATTTATTCTAGATGAAGCATTTTTTGGTCCCAGTTCCTTACCACTGGAAGAATGCATTTAGACAATAGCTAATGACATGGCAACTACTTAAAAACTTACTACAGTGGTGCCCCGCAAGACGAATGCCTCGCAAGACGGAAAAACCGCTAGACGAAAGGGTTTTCCGTTTTGAAGTTGCTTCGCAGGACGAATTCCCCTATGGGCTTGCTTCGCAAGACGAAAATACCTTGCGAGTCTTGAGATTTTTTTTCGCTTTTCCCCCCCTTTATCTAATCTGCTAAGCCTTTAATAGCCTTTAATAGCCTTTTAGCAGCTAATCCCCTAAGCCTTTAAGCCTTTAATAGCCGCTAAACCGCTAATAGCGCTAATAGCGCTAATCCGTCAATGGGCTTGCTTCGCAAGACGAAAAAACCGCTAGACGAAGACTCTCGCGGAACGGATTAATTTCGTCTTGCGAGGCACCACTGTAGGTGGAATGGAAATCCCCTGTAGCCTTCGGTCATGTGAAAAGGCCAACATTACTTTAGGCCCTTGCAATAAACAGGAGGATTCATCAGATTCTACAGGAAACACTTTGCCATCATGACAATTGATTGACCAGTATCTGCCTTACACTGGTGCAACTTTTTCAGCTACAAGTGCAATACTGGCAACATATCACAAGCCATCACTCCTTTACACGCAGGCAACCCCGAATTTGCACTGGGGTTGTATACTTGATCATCGCATGCATCGGTGGACTCTTCCAGGTCCAAAAACCACCTCTGCATGCATGGTCACGCATGCTTAGAATACGTGCAAAATGTTTGTTGCCTGTATATCTTGGTTGCAAATAAGCATAATAGTTTGCATATTGCCTTTTGAAAAGATAAGCCGAAACCGCATCCTACATTCTAATTCTGATTCTCTGGTGCTGTTGCTTACCGTATTTTTCGCTCTATAAGACGCACTTTTCCCCTCCTAAAAAGTAAGGGGAAACGTGTGTGCATCTTATGGAGCGAATGCAGGCTGCGAGGCTAAGCCAGAAGCCAGAACAGAACGCTGTTCTAGCTTCTGGCTTAGCCGTGCGAAGCCTCCGCAGGGCAGCGGGGAGCCTTCATCCCGCTGCCCTGCAGAGGCTTCACGAGGCTCTCTCTGGCTTTTGCGGGAGGTGGGGGAAGGGACAGAGTGCGTGGCTCCGTCCCTTCCCCCAACTCCCAGAAAACCCCCAGAGCCGCGCTCCCTTTAAAGAGCGTGTGGCTCTTGCGGGAGGTGGGGGGAAAGCTGGGGGCTTGCTTTCGCTGAAGCCAGGAGGGCAAGAGGGATCGGTGCGCACTGATCCCGCTTGCTCTCCTGGCTTCAGGGATAGCCCCGCAAAGCCTCCTGGCTTCAGGGATAGCCCCGCAAAGCCTCCTGAGCAAAGAGGGAGGAGCGCTCCCTCTTCGCCCAGGAGGCTTTGCATTGCTTTCTTATTTCTTGTTTTCCTCCCCTAAAAACAAGGTGCGTCTTATGGTCCGGTGCGTCTAATAGAGCGAAAAATACGGTATGTAGCTAGAACAGCCACGCACAAGCGGGACATACCATCATTCTCAAACCAATGAGGTAATGGGAAATGAGGACAGAGAAAAAGAGATACAAAGGTACCCTCCTTGTTCACTTGATCTCTTGCCTGCACCTTGCTCACTCACTTTGGGCAGCCTCCTGTTTGAGCAGGGAGAACTTTGAAGCTTCCTCCCAATCACATACAGCAACCACACTCATTTCAAGTTATTATCATTTTTCACAACTGTGACACCTGTGGCCACTGTCAGAAACAGTTTCCTGGGCTAGATGGACCAGAAAGGCTCTTCTTATATTCTTATCCTTATGGGGGCAGTTTGATGTAGTGGTTAGTGTGTTGGACTAGGACCTGGAAGACCAGAGTTCAAATCCCCACTCAGCCATGAAAGCTCAGGGGATGACCTTGGGCCAGTTGCAATTTCTCAATCTAACCTACCTTACAGGGTTTCTGGGACAATAAAACAAGGGAGGGGGAGGGTACAGAGGAGGCAACTGTGAGTTCCTCCAGGTCAACGAATACAAATGCTACACACACAGGAAGCTTTAGGCCAGGCTTCCTCAACCTCGGCCCTCCAGATGTTTTTGGCCTACAACTCCCATGATCCCTAGCTAGCAGGACCAGTGGTCAGGGATGATGGGAATTGTAGTCTTAAAACATCTGGAGGGCCGAGGTTGAGGAAGCCTGCTTTAGGCTCTCCCAGCACAAGAGGTGTTGATAAATGCCTGTTTGTGTCCCACGTTGCCTTGAGAGTATGTATGTCATGCTGCAGACTCAGGGTTATCACCTCCCCACTAAAAACAAATGGTTGCACAGTTGTGCTTGTAACAACATAGAAAGAAGACTTGTTTAAAGAAAAGATTCCAACAATGGAGAATATACATGATAAATGGCCAAGATTATGGAAAGCAAGCTTTCTGTCCAAACTAGTTGAAGGAAAAGTCTGTACCTGTTTTGTGTGATACAAACTTGCATGTAACAAAACTGAAAGTGAAGCACTAAACGGAACAGATCACTAAGTATGCATTACAATGTGCAGTATCTTGCACAACTATCAGCAGCAAATTGTACAAAAACAGTACAGTATTAGATTATTTTCTGCTGTGCCTTTAAAGGTAAAATCATCAGAACCACAAAGGGGGGGTGGGGAGAGAAAATGAGAATTCCTGCAATTAAGAGCTGACAGTTCTGCATGCCTAATACAGAAAAGCCATCTGCGTGGCATATCTCATTACAACACTAACTTCCAAAAATGTAGAGCAATTTAAACCTCTAAGCCACTGAGCTTTAGCAGGAGACAAGCATATGTGATTAGAAGTATACTTTTTTTCACCATAATACCTTTTAAAAAAACACTTTAGGCACAGAACTTCCTAACAACACAAACAAATGCGATTTTAAAACTGAGTGAATTCTCCTGGATATTTGCAGTAAATAATTGCTTTTTACATAGTTACATTCTTCTGTGGTTTATCTACATCTTGAGCACTATTGATAGCCAAAAATAAACAGATTTCCATTTCAAGTATCAACTAGGCAGTTGCCTTTGACAGTAGAGGTCAAACTAGTGGGTTGCTATGGGTCATTCTCCTAGAGACCAAGGGGGAACTTCTCATGTGCTGTATAATTTCTATTGAGATTAATTTTACACACACACACACACACACACACACAGAGTGGTACCTCAGGTTACATACGCTTCAGGTTACATATGCTTCAGGTTACACACTCCGCTAACCCAGAAATAGTGCTTCAGGTTAAGAACTTTGCTTCAGGATGAGAACAGAAATCGGGCTCCGGCGGCGCGGCAGCAGAGGGAGGCCCCATTAGCTAAAGTGGTGCTTCAGGTTAAGAACAGTTTCAGGTTAAGAACGGACCTCCAGAATGAATTAAGTACTTAACCCGAAGTACCACTGTGTGTGTGTGTGTGTGAGATATATATATATATATATATATATAATTACAGAAAGGCTATTTTAAGCTGATTTAATTATTGAACAAGAAAAATACCTAAACAGACCAACAAACTAACTTATTTCCTACGATTTTCATGCTTCACTCAGATTAGGTGAATAAATGAAGTAAGACACCACACAGAACTCAATACTACTTTGGGCCAGTTAAATTCTTTATTTAGGAACTATTACTGGTTCAATTGGCATGCAGAGATTCCTACTACATAAAATCCATAATATAACAAGTGCTATACTGATCTGTGGGTCTCAGTTATTTGAGTGATGGGACCAGCAAGCTGAAGCAGGACACAAAAGAGTTAAATTTCCTCTTTGTGTTGGGAGGCTTTTGTTTTAAAATAGTACACTATTTTAGATATGTCTACTTGCAAAAATCTCTTTAGTTCAAATTTAACAACATGATCTCACCCATGTTTACATAGAAGTAACCTCAATGTATTTCAATGAGTTGTCCATTCAAAAGTGTATGTGCTTGACACTAAGAAAAAAAGATTATTATACGGAATCAGAGGTGAAGCCCTAAAAGTTGGTGAAATTAAGAACCTGTACAATGCAATAAGAAAAAATAAACTGACAAAAATAGCACACAGAAAGATAAAACAACAGTATTATCAAGTATTAGAAAAGAGAAAGAAATAATAAATTTAAGGTCTACATGTCGTTCACTTCTGCACACTTCCAGAGGTGGTGCAAAACTACATCTGGCTTAGGTATTATCTAAGGCAGTCTTAGGGATCTGTAGTCCAAAACATCTGGGAGGCACCAGAATGGGAAGGGCCAATCTAAGGAACTGGATTTTTCTACGAGATTGTGCACTCCTTCCACTAAGACCCTCCTCTTTCCAAATAATTTGGTTGCCATTTTGTTTACAGGCCCATTCAAGGTGCCCACAAGCCTTAAAAGACTTACCGGTAGGCCCCAAATATCTGAAAGATCATAGCCATCCCTACCAACCCTTTCAGGTGTTAAGATTTGCAGAGCGAACTTTCTGGGAGACGGCTTTCTCTATGGTTTGCTCTGCACTATGGAATTCCCTCTCCACAGAAGTGTGTCTACAATGTTCACTGCACAGGCACCCCCAATTATGCACAATTGACTCACGAGCAACTACATGTACACACGGCGCCAGGAAATAAATAAATTGATTCAAACCAGGAAATTGCAGGAGAGAGCTGGAGAGTCAATGTTTTATAACCACTGTTTTTAGGTTTGAGAAAATCAGAAATGTATTGTGGTAGGGTCATCTGAACAAAACATCTTTGGAAAAAGTTAACTTTTCTTATAGAGTGTAGAAAAGTGGGAATGAAAGTGCTGCCTATGGGTGAATTGAGCTCATGTGTATGATTTAATCATGTGAACCAGGTAATTCCTCAAAAGGAAAACAATGAGGTTCGGGTTTGGTGACACCCCCCCCCCAAGTTTTTAGAATAAGTTTTTAGTGAGTGTAAAGACATAGGTCGGGGTTTTTTTGGTTTGTTTGTTTTACACTTATCAGTTCCACGGATGGGCTTCAGAAAGCTAATAAAATCTACAATATTCCAGGGTAAAGAAAGCACACAGTGACACCTACTAACATTTGGAATGGTTTGGCAACCCATTTCGATAAATTCTCTCACCACTTTTACCTCTGCCTGAAAATAAACAGCAGTGTTCAGTTGATATGGATGGTTGCAGCATTTTATAACCTTTCAACATCGCTTTCAAAACAGGCCATTTCTACAGGCAGCTTTCTAGAGTACCTGCAGGATAGGACTAGGTAGAGAGCTACAAAAGCGCACACACAGAGTACAAATGCCTACCTCACCCCTGGCCATTGCTGTTATCTTCAGGTGGCTATTCACAAAACAAAAGGATCAAATTAGTTACTACTAATAGTGACTTAAGGAGCAAAACTGCTACCAGCGGCAAATAAACTATAGTTCCTATCACCATTATACAAGCAGGTACAGTGGTGCCTCGCAAGACGAAATTAATCCGTTCCGCGAGAGTCTTCGTCTAGCGGTTTTTTTCGTCTTGCGAAGCAAGCCCATTGACGGATTAGCGCTATTAGCGCTATTAGCGGTTTAGCGGCTATTAAAGGCTTAAAGGCTTAGGGGATTAGCTGCTAAAAGGCTATTAAAGGCTATTAAAGGCTTAGCAGATTAGATAAAGGGGGGGGAAAGCGAAAAAAAAATTTCAAGACTCGCAAGACATTTTCGTCTTGCGAAGCAAGCCCATAGGGGAATTCGTCCTGCGAAGCAACTCCAAAACGGAAAACCCTTTCGTCTAGCGGTTTTTCCGTCTTGCGAGGCATTCGTCTTGCGGGGCACCACTGTATATTAATTCACATAATATCAGGGAAATACCATCAGCTGTTTAAGCAGAAATAACTGCACAAGTTTACACAGCAGAAATATTAAGAATGCTAAACCCTCACAAGTGAAATAACAGGTATTATTACTACAATTAACAGTATGTAATATGAAAATGTCCATAGTGTTAACCCCAGAAAACTACATATATTTTCACAGCAAATCTTAGTACTGCTAAACTAAGCAGCTTGAAGGGAGTGATGGAAATAAAATTGCATGACACAGAAGAAGAGTTCTTTTGGAATCTGCATGAACTAATTTTGAAGGGAATGTATGATTATCTGAATTCTATAAATATGTATGATTATGGTCAGTTGGAAGGTTTTGCGTTATAGTTTTTGGGAAGGACAAGAACTGATTATGGGATCTGAGGTTAAAATCCGGACAGTTGAGCTTTTTTTTTTTGCTTTTTTTTTTTAAGCCAAAGTTGTTGGGGGGGCCTCCCTGTCTAAGACACAAAAATACAGTGGTACCTCAGGTTACATACGCTTCAGGTTACAGACTCTGCTAACCCAGAAATAGTACCTCGGGTTAAGAACTTTGCTTCAGGATGAGAGCAGAAATCCTGCTCCGGCGGCATGGCGGCAGTGGGAGGCCCCATTAGCTAAAATGGTACCTCAGGTTAAGAACAGTTTCAGGTTAAGAACGGACCTCTGGAATGAATTAAGTACGTAACCAGAGGTACTACTGTAAATGGTTGATGTAGCTGCTCAGGTCGTTAGGAGTTCTCATGCTTGCAGATGTCAGGCAGCTCCGAAGCCAGGTAGCCGTTGCTGAGGGTTTTTTTGAGAAAAGCTCCATTAAAAAATGAGTTTTGAAGCTTTTTAAAGGATTTTCACCAGAAAACTGGCCGCATTGCCATATGTCTGGGTTTTCCCTGACATTTTAGCGATTTCCGGAAATTCCACCCAGGCGCCATTTCCGGCATTGGAATCCCGCATGTGTCTGGGGAAACCCGGATGTATGGCAGCCCCAGGGCTATCTGTGCTCTGCAGATTTAACAACAAAGGTAAGGAGCAAAAAAATTAAAGACAAATGGTTAGTAGTGGTGCTTTTTCCCACAGAACAGAATTTCTTCACTTATAATGCTGTGCAAACATCCTGAAAAGATACAAAAAAGTATTTAAAATCTTGGAATCTTCTCTGGAGAAAAAATTGAAATGATTTTGACTTCTGCTGTACTTTTGCACCAGATCAAATCAAACTAAAATAATATGAGCAAGTGGATACAGTGCATGATGAGTTACGTTGACTAGAGGATTACATTAACGAGTCTCTGGGCAACACCTAGAAACTTTAGCCAAAACACCTCCCATACAGAGAGAGCAGGTCTGCATGCATTGTGCCAAATAGCTTTTCCTCAGAAAAATAATTCAGAAGAAATGTTATAGACTACCACCATTGTCACTCCAAATGAAAAATAAAAGGAATATTATATTACTTCTGGAAAAACAAGGCATAAGAGAACTTTCTCCGTTTGAAAGGATACTGACTGTATCCAGTGGTTGTGCAGCAAGTGCAAGAGTTATTTATTTTCTTCCCCTCCCCTTCAGTCTATAGACCCTGACCCTGCTCCCTGCCCTAAAAAGAAACCCTACTTCTAGATAAGTTCTGAATATGATGCGAGACCAATGTTTTTTAGCAAATAAAATTTGACAGACTGGCTGTATAGGATTCCCAGTGTTGGCTAGACACAGCCAACACCAAAGAATAAGCTTGGACTTAGAAAATAGGAGACAAACTCTGAAAAGGGAGGAGGAAGAGTGCACAACTCTGGAAACAGAGAACCTTAAGTGTTGAAAAATCATTTTTCTTCTCTCGCCCAAGTTCATTTCCTTTCTTATAACTGCTAGTGCCTAATCTCCACTTTCTGAGGGACTCCTCTCAGCTGAAGTCACAAAGGAGAAAGGAGGCAACAGGAAGTTCAGGGTAAGTATGTTAACCCTGAACACATGTTGCAGAATGAGATGACAGAATTCTATCCCAAGGCGGTAGAGTGAACCATACTATTTCAGGAAGCAGCTGGGAGATGTCATTTTAAAATCCTACCTCACGTTAATCGTGCCCTCTATTTATTTCTTTTTAATAGTACGACAGGAAGAAAGGTTTTAGCCTAGTCATTTCTCTGTGTCATTCTTGTGCTTGCAGGGAGTTTCACATATAGGGGAGCTGTCAACTATCTGTCCACAATCCACCCATGTCATAACTCTAGCACTGTATTCTGGTGCATCTATAGTATGTCAAGGATTACAAAAACTGACAGTCCAGCCCTACCAGAAAATTTATATGGGAAGAACTGGTAAAGTCTTGTTTTAGGACTGTTCTGTACTTATATATTCACCAGTCATGGGCATTAGCAAGGCAATTCTCAAAAAGTATTCAGCAGGCCTAGTTCTCTTTGGCCTGTAAAACCACATTAATATTCTCCTTTGACTGTGACTAATGTTAATCTACTGGTAAACTCAGTATTCACACATAACTAGTGATTAAAACTAATGGGACTCAAATACATGCATCAAGGTTGGGAAGATATCCCTTGTGTTACAATTTTTCTCTAAATCCAATAGGAACAACGTGAGTATAGAAAGCAACTATCTTTCACCTATGAATTGCACAACACCAAAGCAGATTATGCGCTAGACTCAAGATACTTCATTTCAATTTCAGCTCTTCTTCCTTGGACAAATTGTTTCTTGATTATTCTTGAGAACAGCAATAGCTTCCTCTGCTCAGTACCCCCCATCTCCTAGTTTTGGGATTGGAAATAATAGAAATGCAGAATTGTACAATTGTAAGCGACCTCAGGGGTCATCTAGCCCAGCCCCCTGTAATGCGGGAATCTCAACTAAAGCATCTGTATTTAGTTGGAATCTCCTTTCTTGTAGCTTGAATCCACTGGTTCAGGTCCTACCCTCCAGACTAGCAGAAAACAAGCATGCTCCCTCTTCCATGCAACAGCCCATTATAAATTTAAAGATGGCTACCATATCTCCTCCATCTCCTCATTTCCAAACTAAACATACCCAGCTCCCTCAACTGTTCCTCATATGGCTTGGTTTCCAGACCCTTGATAATCTTTGTTGCCCTCATTTGTACACGTTCCGGCTTGCCAATATCCTTAAACTGTGGCACCCAGAACTGGACACAATATTCCAGTGTCAGCCAGCTAACAGAATAAAGAACATCAACACTTTGTGGGCTCTGATTATCATACTATTTCTCTAATTGTTTAAGTCTGTGGTTCCCAACGCAGGGCACACACCCCACAGGAGGGCAACTTGGATGCTTGTTTAGACCAAGTTAATGGCCTTTCAGGCTTCCTCCACGTGAATAGGAGTTCGTTTTTTTGAAAAATAAGAATTATATGTCATGGGGGGGAGGCATTAGGATTTTAGAGATGCTTAGGTGGGGCATGGCCAAAAAAGTTGGGAACCACTGGTTTAAGTCAAGCCCTATGGTCAGTTTATATAACTGACAAGACTTAGGCAATATCCCTTACTTATGCCTCAGAACCTGGTTTTGGAAGGAAATCAGAGGTGCATTTGGTACAGTTACCCATGTTTACACATCTTGCAAGGATTATTGGCCTTATAGATATTGTTGGATGTGAAACTGAGCTAGCAAAGCAACCAGGACAAAGTTTCCCAAACCGCAAGCTTCATTCAGTTGGTCTGCGGCATGTCCACATTAAATTATATTTTTATGGTTTATTTTATTTCTTATACTGTCTTTTATTGCATTACTTGAATTTTATGGAATGCAAATTGTAATACAATAAAATACAGTGTAAAAAAAAGAAGAAGCAATAAAAATTGAATTAAAATTCAATTACAATCATACAGCATCTAGCACAGTGCATTGGAATTTCTACAACAGGCAGAAAAGCATGAAGTGGTCCACCTAGACCAAAGGCTATCAGCAACTACCAGATGGTCCATGAAGGTGGGAAGTTTAGAACCACTGAACACAAATTTTGTTGCAAATACCAGAAAATTCTTTCATCAGACATTTGGTCCCAATAGTTCAAACAATATTAAACAGAGGACAGCAACCCAATAGAACTCAGGAACCTAAATAAAGTTTGTAGGCCAACAGCATCATCCAGAATTGAGACTAAGTTCAGAACAGTGAACTCTGTATAAACAAAGACCTGGACTTAAATATAAGGGTAAAATCACTTGATGGGAATTTCGCATACTTAAAAGTAGAGTCGCTTGCTAATCTGGCAGCCTTCGAGTTTGACGGAGTGTTTCAAATGCCAACAGCCATCTACACAAATAAATTAAATCAAGAGTTTTTGATTTTATGCTGACTTAGCATCATGACCCAATCATACAGAAGTTTAGCACAGAACTCCTATGCAAGTTCTGTGGAGCTTACTCTCCATGGAACAGCGACCTTAGCCTTATTGACAAAAAAATAAAAAATCAAGTAATCTCAATGTGATGCCTTCCATCTTTCAGACACTAATTACCATGCAGAGAACCAATCACAAAGAATTCTTGCCAAATGTACTCATTTCTAACCTCGAGCCATGGAAAATATACAGCCTTCATGATGACTAAACACATCTTACATAAGTAGATATTCAAGCAGGAAATCAAGAAAGAGGAGGTCTACGGAGCTGCATCAATTGGGGGAAATGTGTCAGCTAAAATGTCACCAGTTTTTGAACAAGTTGTAGCGTGAACATCAAAAATAGCCCACAGAATGTTGCCACTACCTTGACAGGCACTGACTATTGGTTCCTCACAGACACCCCCTCCTTCTACCCAACTTGCCCTCCTCCTTTCCCATTCCAATGCATAACGGCTATCTGTTGGGAAAAGGAAAAGAAGTCATTATGGGCAGCCCTCCCAGCACACCCACACATGCAACAGCAGTTTCCCCTCCACTTCCTACATTGCAGGGGGTTGGACTAGATGACCCTAGGGGTCCCTTTCAACTCTGCAGTTCTATGATTCTATCCCTGCTTGCCACAAACTGAGCTCCCAGTTAGCTATATTTGCAGGACTGTCGGGGCTTACAAATATAACAGAAAGCTAAAACTATTTATTATTTTAATCATGGTATGTGGTTAGGTGCTACATACACAGCAAGAAAAACCACAGTTTATCCCAGAATATAAACATACATGGAAATCAGTGGGATACTGGAAAAGACGGAAAGGCAAAGAAGTCCCAGGCAGGTACCAAAATAGCCTAGAGAGAATAAAACTACTATTTAAGGAATGTGTCCTTATGACTTGAGATTTTACATACAGAACTTCAGCTTCTCAGGCATCAATCAATTTATTTCCTTTAGACACGTCAGGAAGCTTGGGAAAGAAAAGTAGGAAGCTAACAGTTTCACCCCCCAGTCTTACATTAGAAGGGATCAAGAACTATTTATCTATCATAGAGGAGTGTTTCAAACAAATAAGTGGATACCTGCCCTAGTTTTAAATGGCATAGTTTTTACAGAACCACAGGAGTGTAGGATTTATTTTTTACTGTGCTTGAATTTTTAAAAGCAGGGGTGGGGAACCAGTTTTCTATCAAGCACAAGTGACCTGCAAGGGGGGGGGGGGAAGAGGTGTCATAAGCATGACTAATTGTAGCATAGGTTCTTAAATGTATTAAAAATAATAATAAATATTTAAATCTAGGAAGATAGTGCTGGGATGCTGCTGGGATGTGGCTACCTAGGCTGAGGGGAACAACTGACTAACTCAGGGCTCAGCAAACTGTTTTAGCAGGGGGCCGGTCCACTGTCCCTCAGACCTTGTGGGGGGCTGGACTATATTTTTTTTGGGGGGAATGCCCCACAAATAACCCAGAGATGCATTTTAAATAAAGGCACACACTCTACTCATGTAAAATCACCAGGCAGGCCCCACAAATAACCCAGAAATGTTTTTTTAAAAAGGACACATTCTACTCATGTAAAAACACGCCGATTCCTGGACCATCTGCGGACCGGATTTAGAAGGCGATTGGGCCGGATCTGGCCCCCGGGCCTTAGTTTGCCTACCCATGAACTAACTGTTACAATACTATAAATATTCCTGGAAAGGGAGGCAGAAGAAAATGCATACCTGCTCCTTCCAACATTCTTGAATGGCGTATGTGGCACCGATCACTGGTTTCTATGCAAACCAATAGCTGTCCTTTTTTAGGAGGATTTTGTTCTTCGGTTAGGTTCAGCATCCTAACCCTATGCACTTAATCCGCAAGTAATTCTATCACATATAAATGGGATTTGCTCCCAAGTAAGTAAGCACAGGGCTGAAACCTGCAATCTGGAAAGAGCTGGGTGCTTCAGTTTTTAATTATTGGTGCAGCAGGAAATAGGGAAAGGGGGGTTCTTTTTCGGGATAATAACAAACCAAGCCCCTTCACGGATCACTGCCTTGCTGTGGCAAAGGGGCTTGAATAACTCAGAGAAGCTATGAGCTATGCCGTGCCACCCAAGATGGACAGGTCATAGTGGAGAGTTTTGACCAAACGTGATCCACCTGGAGCAGGAACCGGCAAGCCACTCCAGTATCCCTGCCAAGAAAACTCCATGGACAAAGACAACAGGCATATAAAAGTTATGACGCTGGAAGATGAGCCCTCAGGTCGGAAGGCGTCCAACATGCTACTGAGGAAGAGCGGAGGACAAGTACAAGTAGATTCAGAGCTGATGAAGCGGCTGGGCCAAAGCCGAAAGGACGCTCAGTTGCGGATATGCCTGGAAGCGAAAGGAAAGTCCAATGCTGTAAAGAAAAATATTGCATAGGAACCTGGAATGTAAGAACCATGAACCTTGGTAAGTTGGATGTGGTCAAAAATGAGATGGCAAGAATAAATATTGACATCCTGGGCATCAGTGAACTAAAATGGACGGGAATGGGCGAATTCAGTTCGGATGACCATCATATCTACTACTGTGGGCAAGAATCCCGTAAAAGAAATGGAGTGGCCCTCATAGTCAACAAAAGAGTGTCGAAAGCTGTACTGGGATGCAATCTCAAAAATGATAGACTGATCTCAATACGAATCCAAGGCAGACCTTTTAACATCACAGTAATCCAAGTTTATGCACCAACCACTGGTGCTGAAGAAACTGAAATTGACCAGTTCTATGAAGAAGGATGTTCTTCTCATTATAGGGGATTGGAATGCTAAAGTAGGGAGTCAAGAGATAAAAGGAACAACTGGCAAGTTTGGCCTTGGAGTTCAAAACGAAGCAGGGCAAAGGTTAATAGAGTTCTGCCAAGAGAACAAGCTGGTCATCACAAACACTCTTTTCCAACAACACAAGAGACGACTCTACACATGGACATCACCAGATGGGCAGCATCGAAATCAGATTGATTATATTCTCTGCAGCCAAAGATGAAGAAGCTCTATACAGTCAGCAAAAACAAGACCTGGAGCTGACTGTGGCTCAGATCATCAGCTTCTTATAGCAAAATTCAAGCTTAAACTGAAGAAAGTAGGAAAAACCACTGGGCCGGTAAGATACAATCTAAGTCAAATCCCTTATGAATACACAGTGGAAGTGAGGAACAGGTTTAAGGATTTAGATTTGGTGGACAGAGTGCCTGAAGAACTATGGATGGAGGCTCGTAACATTATACAGGAGGCAGCAACTAAAACCATCCCAATGAAAAGGAAATGCAAGAAAGCAAAGTGGCTGTCCAATGAGGCATTACAAATAGCGGGGGAGAGAAGGCAAGCAAAATGCGAGGGAGATAGTGAAAGATACAGGAAATTGAATGCAGATTTCCAAAAAATAGCAAGGAGAGACAAGAAGGCCTTCTTAAACGAGCAATGCAAAGAAATAGAGGAAAACAATAGAATGGGGAAAACCAGAGATCTGTTCAAGAAAATTGGAGATATGAAAGGAACATTTCGTACAAAGATTACCATAATAAAAGACAAAAGTGGAAAGGACCTAACAGAAGCAGAAGACATCAAGAAGAGGTGGCAAGAATACACAGAGGAACTATACCAGAAAGAAATGGATGTCTCGTATACCCCAGGTAGTGTGGTTGTTGACCTTGAGCCAGACATCCTGGAGAGTGAAGTCAAATGGGCCTTAGAACGCACTGCTAATAACAAGGCCAGTGGAAGTGATGATATTCCAGCTGAACTATTTAAAATTTTAAAAGATGATGCTGTTAAGGTGCTACACTCAATATGCCAGCAAATTTGGAAAACTCAGCAGTGGCCAGAGGATTGGAGAAGATCAGTCTACATCCCAATCCCAAAGAAGGGCAGTGCCAAAGAATGCTCCAACTACCGCACAATTGCACTCATTACACACGCTAGCAAGGTTATGCTTAAAATTCTACAAGGCAGGCTTAAGCAGTATGTGGACCGAGAACTCCCAGAAGTGCAAGCTGGATTTAGAAGAGGCAGAGGAACCAGAGACCAAATTGCAAACATGCGCTGGATTATGGAGAAAGCTAGAGAGTTCCAGAAAGACATCTACTTCTGCTTCATTGACTATGCAAAGCCTTTGACTGTGTCGACCACAGCAAACTATGGCAAGTTCTTAAAGAAATGGGAGTGCCTGATCACCTCATCTGTCTCCTGAGAAACCTCTATGTGGGACAAGAAGCTACAGTTAGAACTGGATATGGAACAACTGACTGGTTCAAAATTGGGAAAGGAGTACGGCAAGGCTGTATATTGTCCCCCTGCTTATTTAACTTATATGCAGAATTCATCATGCGAAAGGCTGGGCTGGATGAATCCCAAGCCGGAATTAAGATCGCTGGAAGAAATATCAACAACCTCAGATATGCAGATGATACAACCTTGATGGCAGAAAGTGAGGAGGAATTAAAGAACCTTTTAATGAGGGTGAAAGAGGAGAGCGCAAAATATGGTCTGAAGCTCAACATCAAAAAACGAAGATCATGGCCACTGGTCCCATCACCTCCTGGCAAATAGAAGGGGAAGAAATGGAGGCAGTGAGAGATTTTACTTTTTTGGGCTCCATGATCACTGCAGATGGCGACAGCAGTCACGAAATTAAAAGACGCCTGCTCCTTGGGAGAAAGGCAATGGCAAACCTAGACACCATCTTAAAAAGCAGAGACGTCACCTTGCCAACAAAGGTCCGTATTGTTAAAGCTATGGTTTTCCCAGTAGTGATGTATGGAAGTGAGAGCTGGACCATAAAGAAGGCTGATCGCCGAAGAATTGATGCTTTTGAACTATGGTGCTGGAGGAGACTCTTGAGAGTCCCATGGACTGCAAGAAGATCAAACGTATCCATTCTGAAGGAAATCAGCCCTGAGTGCTCACTGGAAGGACAGATCGTGAAGCTGAGGCTCCAGTACTTTGGCCACCTCATGAGAAGAGAAGACTCCCTGGAAAAGACCCTGATGTTGGGAAAGATGGAGGGCACAAGAAGAAGGGGACGACACAGGACGAGATGGTTGGACAGTGTTCTCGAAGCTACCAACATGAGTCTGACCAAACTGCGGGAGGCAGTGGAAGACAGGAGTGCCTGGCGTGCTCTGGTCCATGGGGTCACGAAGAGTCGGACACGACTAAACGACTAAACAACAACAACAACAAACCAAGTGTTTCTGTCTCTATCACAAAGTCTCCCCTTCTCTTACACATCTCTCCTGCCACTTCAAGTAACTGTAGTCAACAGAGAAAAGAAGGGCCAAAGACAGGATCGTTGTGTGGGAAGTAAAAACTTTGTGAATGCCTTATTCCGAGTGGAGAAGCAGAGCTCCTGACCAGTGGTTAGCGATGGCATCATGGAGCAAAGGGATGCTGTACTGCTGCCTGATGCAGTAGTCCAGGGGTAGGCAACCTAAGGCCCGGGGGCAGGATGCAGCCCAATCGCATTCTCAATCCGGCCCGCGGAGGGTCCGGGAATCAGCGTGTTTTTTACATGAGTAGAATGTGTGCTTTTATTTAAAATGCATCTCTGGGTTATTTGTGGGGCACAGGAATTCCTTCATTTTTTTTTCTTTTCAAAATATAGTCCAGCCCACCACATGGTCTGAGGCACGGTGGAAGGCCCACAGCTGAAAAAGGTTGCTGACCCCTGCAGTAGTCTTTTGGGCTCTATGACTTTGGGCTTTCCATCTCAAACTCTGCTCTTTCATGCAGAAGGGAAAGGAATGGTTGTACCACTGCCTAAAGGAGCAGCAAGTAATTTTGTGGGCTCTACAGACTTTGGACCCTTTGTTTCAGGCTCCAACCTCTCACCCCGCCCCCGAAACTGCAATTCCTTTTCCATTTTTTTCTGTGTTTTGTTCCCTCTGTCGTCAGACCATGCCTGGTTCAGAGTCACCTGCCTCAGTCAGGCACTGCCTCACTTCCTCTGAAGTGCTGTGGGACAGGACGGGATAGGGCAGGAGGTTAGGGGTCTCTTTTCTTTTATGCCAGCCTCAAGCAGCCTCTTTACCCACCTAAGGAATGTGTCCCTGGAAATGTAAAGGGGCCAGATGAAGCTAAGAAGGGCCGCTTCAGCCTCAGACCTAAAACAGACATTCAAGTTGTTTAGGCCTCAAAATCATCAATGTCTGAAGGGCTCTTGATGCTTTCATACTTAAAAAGAACAACAACAAAAAAACCTGCAAAGGCTGAAAGAGCTATTTTGCTTTAGGTTTCACTTCTGGAACCAGCTTCGTTGTTCCGAGATGAGCCCCACTGGTATGAAGAAAATAATATAGAAGATTCTAACATTTTCTGGTCTTCACATATTTTAGCTTTAGCTATTGAAATCCATCAATATACAGTGGTACCTCAGGTTAAGTACTTAATTTGTTCCGGAGGTCTGTTCTTAACCCGAAACTGTTCTTAACCTGAAGCACCACTTTAGCTAATGGGGCCTCCTGCTGCCGCCACGCTGCCGGAGCACAATTTCTGTTCTCATCCTGAAGCAAAGTTCTTAACCTGAGGTACTATTTCTGGGTTAGCGGAGTCTGTAACCTGAAGCGTATGTAACCTGAAGCGTATGTAACCCGAGGTACCACTGTATTAAGAACAGCCCCGCTGCATCAGGCAAAAGGTGTACCTAATACTCCTATAGTGACCACAAGGCCTACATCATGCAGGGAGGATTTGTTGGCCTCCAGACTCTGTTGGAGCCCTTAACCCATCAGTCTCAGCCAGCATGGCTAATATACAGAAAAGACGGGAGCTGTAGTCCCTACAGGACTCCCACAAGCAGGATGTGAGCATAACAGCCCTTTTCCACTTCTGTTCCCCAGCAACAAGTATTCAGAAGCATGCTGCCTTTGATACAGGAGATTGTAAACAGCCATCGTAGCTAGTAACCACTGATAGGCAAATCATGGAGGATATGGCTAATTCCCTTTTAAAACCATCCAGGTTGGTGGTCATCACCACATCTTGAGGAAACTATGTGAAGAAGTTTCTCTGGGAACTTCACACCATTCAGCTTCACTGGATGACCCCTAGGTTCTAGTATTATGAGTTAGCAAAACCTCTCTCTGTCCACTTTCTCCACGCATTATTTCATATGCATCTTTCATGTCTTCCCTTACACACTTTCCCTCTAAAACCTAAACCCTTTCTCACAGGAAAATTACTCCAGCCCAATGCTCATTTTGGCCACGGGTACTGCACAAAGTATTTCAAGTGTGGTCACACCATCGATTTTGCTCTTTTTCTGCATCTGTAAAACATGTTTTTAACAAGTGATCCGCAAGTTACTATAAACTTTTGGAACTGGTCTTTGGTTTCCTAGGGAATTTGTAAATTAAATAAAGCTCCACCATTCTCCTGCAAAGGATATTTTTGTGCTTTGTTCCTCTTAATTTGTAAGTCAATTTTTCTGTAAGGGCAATGCACCATTCTCTCTTGAACCAGGCATTCCGGTTTTACACCTTTTAAATTCTTCCAGAATATGGCTATAATCATATGTGCAGCCACTAAGAGAAATCCAATTACTAGTTTATCTACCAAGTCCTGATTCTCATTTAAATACAGGTTCAGTAACACTAGTTCTGAAGACTTCATGACATGAGATCCTTTGGGAGCTCTTCATAAATCCCATTTTTGCCCCTATAACCAATAAGTTGGTATCATTCACAAACTTGGCTACTTTAATGATCTGGCTTTAGGGGTGAGCAGTAAATAATTAAAAGGCACAGGTCCCAAATCAGATCCTTGGGGACCACACCTTACACCCTCTCATTGTGAGAACAGCTCTTTTATTTCTATTCTATGCTTCCTGTTCTTTATCTGTCTTCTTATCCCATGACTGCTAAGTTTGCCCAGGAGCTTTTGGTAAGGGACGTTGTCAAAAGCTGTTTGAAAATCCTAGTATACAGTGTCTGCCAGATTTCTCCTATCCACATGCTTGCTGATACGCTCAAATAACTCTAAAAGCTTTGTGAGACAGGACTTACCTTTCCAGAAATTACATTGATTCTTCTTTAGCAAGATGCTTGATCATTTTAATTTTATGCCTTAAATTTTGTATATTGTAAGGTTTTTGTTTGTTTTTTTGTAAGCCACTTGAGGCCCAGATATGCTGAAATGCAGGGTGCAACTTTTAAAAATTAATAATTTTCTGAATGAGTCCTTCTGGATTTCCTTTTAAATGTCACCTTCCAGTTCTAAGACACCGTTCTTAGGGAGAATTTACATCACTTTGTTATTTAAGAACTCTCTCGTGGACACAACACAATACATGAGATGGGATTTAGGCTCCAATAAAATCTGGAGGCCAAGAGGTTCTCCATCCCTGATGTAGGCATCTGGTTGGTCAGTATAGGAGTAGCATGCTGGATTAGACACAGCTTTTTTGCCTGATCCATCAGGGCTGTTCTTAAATTATTAAACTGATCCATATCCATATTATTACAATTTAACTATGTAAACAAATATGGCCAATACATAATGAATTCACAAATCATTTGTGGTATTTATGCCCATTTTAGCATGACAGTTCAAAAATTTAAAGAATTTAAGCAAAAAATATTTGAGTATTTCTTTTCTCCTCGGTCTTCTACTCACACCCTATTCAGTGCTAAAACTACCAATATCTGTTTGATGTTCAAGACAAAACTGTCACCTTAGTGTTCCTGGCAACATGGGGTATATATTATAAAATGAACAAACTTCTGCCTGAATTTTCTATTAAGAGGCTGCAGCTTTTCTTAGCAGACGGCATTTATGCTGAGCTGAATAGGAACCCCTCCTTATTCTTTTCAAATAACAGGAATCACATTTTCTACAATGTGACGAAAACAAAGTGTTATTTTTGGTTGGTAAGCAATTGGTTGACATGGTAAAAGTGATACCACCACTTAATAACAGTAATTCCAAATCATCTCCTGCTAGTATTATGAAAAGGGAAGGATCTTATGCAGTCATCAGGTAGGAAAAAAAAGAAAATTTGCATGTTATGGCAGTTCAAGCTGTTGGTCAGTGAGCTGAACCGACAATGAAGCATTGTATTTTAGATTTTTAACAGATCATCATGTTACCAAAAACACATTAGAATTTCACAAAATTTCAAGTTGTTTTTTTTAAAAAAATAATAATTCAGTACACTATCCAATGCCATGATTCCCACAGACGTGTTTGCTAAATATATGTTTCAAAAATGGAAAGCTGATAAATTATGTTTAGGCTTATCTAAGCCAATCCACAAGTTATAATAATAATAATAATAATAATTTATTATTTATACCCCGCCCATCTGGCTGGGCTTCCCCGGCCACTCTGGGCGGCTTCCAAAAGAATATTAAAATACTATAATACATCAAACATTAAAAGCTTCCCGAAACAGGGCTGCCTTCAGATGTCTTCTAAAAGCCTGGTAGTTGTTGTTCTCTTTGACATCTGGTGGGAGGGTGTTCCACAGGGAAGGCGCCACTACCGAGAAGGCCCTCTGCCTGGTTCCCTGTAACTTGGCGTTAGTTGATAACAAAGTTAGTTGATAACAAAGGGAGATAAAAACTTTCCTGCATTTCAAACACAATAAAAACACTCTTGGTTGGTTCACATCTAGTACCATGATCCAGCACTACAGTATGTCGATAAATCTCAGCAGGTCTGTGCAAAGCTCACATACTCCTCTTTGTCTCCTCTCCTCTTACACAGCAAAGAGGATTTCTACTATGTTTACTTTCAATTCGTGACTTAGTGCAGGAATGGGAGCCATGGCCGTCCAGATGCTTTTTAACTACAGTCCCCATCATCCATGACCACTGGACTGTGCTGGCTGGGCTGATGGAAGTTGGAGTCCAAGAACATCTGGACACCCCTGACTCAGCAGTATGTGTGAACCGTGAACCAGGAATTCTAGTTTACAACCAACAATGGTTAGTTGCTAAACACGCCAACTTCATGGTTTGTAGCTGGCTTGTTTAACAACTAACCATTGCTGGTTGCAAACCAGAATTCTTGGCTCACACATACTGCTAGAGTTTAGTTCTTGAAATTAAAAGTAAACTCAGCAACGATCCTCCTCCTGGGTGCACGGAAGGAAGAGACAGGAAGCGTGAGAGCTCATACTTGCCAATACTTAGCCACATGGTGCTAAACCATTGCTTAGCGCTAAGTAGAACCAATCAAATTTGATTACAGGTCAATCAGTGGTCTCAGCAGCATTAAAAGAATATGAATTCTGGAATATTCTTATAAAAGCCAGGTTCCCCTAATGACATTTCATGATTTTATTGAAGAATTGTGGTTCTAGGACAATCATTCTACAATGACCGCATGTGTACGCCAGCCATATTTAAAATGGTAGCAAGAGGCAATGTCTCTTTGCTTTTGCCCTAACCTAAGAAGTCAGCCCATTTTATCCTTCACTTACCTAAATAGTCCTCAAGCAATGTCTGCCCAGTTCACTGTCAGAACAATGCCACTACCCAAACAATTAAATAAACAAAAACACCACAAACTTAAGGCTTCAATCCTACATACATTTACCCAAAATGACGACTCTATGTATATTGTGGGACGTCTGAAAAAACATGTACAGGACTGTACAGGACTGTAGTACAGGATTGGTCTAAGCTGCTTTATAAATATAAAATGATTTCTCTTTGCCATCGATACATTTAAGACAGGAAAGAGTAGGAGACTACTTAAGGCAGTTGTCAGGGGATATAAACGCCTTTCCTTGTTCATCACTGAGGTCATCATCCAAGGTCTTGCCTCTGGTGGGTGGCTAATGCAGAAGATCTTCCCAGAGATCTCATTTTGTTCCTACCTTCTTAAAGTATTGTTAAAGCATTTTATTCTCTCAAACGTTAGTAAACAAAACTATATTTGTATCATTTGTTGTCTTCCAATTTATCTGCAGCTGCTACAATTGTGAGTGTGTTCGTTGATTATTTTAAGAGAGTTACTTTTGGCATAGTTTTATTTTGGATTGTACATCTCCTTGCGGGCCTTCTAGTGGAAAGATGGAGCGCAAATGTTTTGAATAATCTTTTTATAAAAAGAAACATGATGTATGTGCATCTCGCCATAGCAAAGTCACAGTTGGGTGCTCGTCCAGGGCAGTTGCAACTTACCATAGCTGGGCCGACACTTTGCAAATTACATGGCAAGGCATAACAAACCTTGTCATGGAGAAAATATACAAAATTAGACAACAGGCCAGGTGCAAAAGGAGGAGCAGAAACGCTGTGCCTTGTCTAATTTTTATCCCTTCCTTCATCCAAGAGAGGCAAAAAATATATGACTTCCCTATGCTCACTTTTTTACTATTATTCTCACAACAATCTGTGAAGTAGGCTAGAATGAGTGCATGTGATTGGTCCAAGTTAACCTAATATACCTCAGGGCTGAGTAGGAATTTGAGCCTGGGTCTGCCTGGTCTTAGTCAGAAACTCGGGCTGAAATACTATATTGCCTCTCAGGAACAGAATTCTAGCCAAGTATATCTATGTTGCACTAGGTTCTTACACACCCTATGTAATGGCAAGCCTCTATTACAGAGCACATGGGCAAGGAATATGTGGCACTGCAAACATTGTTGGACTAACACAACTCCGCTCATCCCCAAACACGGGTGATGCTGGCTTGGACTGAACAGAGTTTGGAGTCCCAACAAAGGACCACTGGCAGGTTTTTCAATAATTTTATGTATTGCATCAGAAGCTGGAAACAAACTCTTAATATTGAGTTGAAGGACAACTTGAGTTGAAGTAACATGACAGGGTTGCTAAATTAATCACAGTACAGTGTCTTTCAAGCCAACGTGTTTCCATGCTTCAGATAAGCAGCCCAAATTTCAGAAGCACAAGTGACCCTATGCTTATTTTAGTCACCTTGTTCATTTATCTGAGCACCAACCAACCCTTATTTGAAATTGTATTAAGAAGCTCAATATAAGTTTCTTTTTTGAGGTATGAAAAGGCTCCTGCCTTTCCCCCAAAAATTCTCTTTTTTAAATGGCTTTTTCAATGCATTTCATCAAGTAACATGAACAAGTAGGTTATTCCTCCATTAACAAAATTAGTGCTTAAGCTTCTGCTTGGTGGCAAGACTTGCATTTGGTTCCTTTTTAATACATGAGCCACTTCCCACTAAACATACTGAAGTGATTTAACAACAAAAACTTAAGACAATACAGATGCAAACCAGGATAAAATTCTCAACTTAAAATGCTTGTTGGAAAAGGTCTTCAATAAATAGGTGTCAAAAAGATGGTAGAGAGGGTGCCCATCCGATGCATCACATGAGGGAGTTGCAAAGGCTATGTGCCACCACACTAAAGGTCCAATTCCTACATTTGAAGGAATGGACCCACACATGATATGGCATCTGCAGGTGGCCTTCTCTTGCGGAGAACATTACTGGTTAGATACAGAAGGAATGAGGCAATCTTTCAGGTATCTTAGTCCCAAGCTGTATAGGACTTTGTACACCAGTCCCAGCATCTTGAATTTAGCCCAGTAGCTAACTGGCAGCCAGTGCAATTCTTTCACCAGTGACACAATATATTGCTGATATTCTGCCTCAGTGAGCAGCCAAGTCACAGTATTTTTCTTCAGCAACAGCAGCAAACTCAGGGGCAGCCCCAATCTGGAGGTTACTAGATTTACATAAGTATCCTCAATACTTCCTCACTATTCCAAACAAATATATTGGTGTAGCAATAGGGGGAAATTAAATCTTTATTGTAAAAAACACACCTACAAGTTAGGAAAAGGCATGTCCATCAGTCCTACGTCTCTCAGCTACTCCTAGGTGTGCACCCAATGAGGCAGTTGCCACAACATACGAGTTCCCACCCCAACCTCAGCTTATATCTCTCCCCTATCAGAGATGCACGCAAGCAGGCAAAGACTGTCTATATGTAACTTTCTGCTCCTCCTCCTTCAATCCTCTCCTGGTCCTGGCAGACAGTGGAGCAGGAGAGGTGGGGCAGGAGGAGGAGGTGTAGAAACCCTTGCGTCTACACCAGCCTGACCGATCTCTTCCCCTTCCCACACCTATTTTCCACTCTCCAATCTTGCAGTTTCTCCTGCCTCTGACTCTTGTTTCCCAGCGGCTATAGGTTACCCCAATTCACTGATCCCTTCTTCCAAGTCAGTTTCTAACCCTGCTTCTCTCAGTGACCACTCATTGGTATCCACTCACCAGTCCTCAGCGTCCAGCCTGTCTCTGACATTTAGCCACTACTAATATATTTTGAGTTAACGACATTCATGTAGACTGTTCAAAACTTTATATACCATAGACTGAGCAACAACACCACCGCTGCTAGCAGCAGACAGTGCAGAAAGTAGCTCAATCACACTCATCCTGCTTAATCAGATTCTGATGGAACAAATATTGTATGTGTATCATACTGAGGGTTGCCTTATTTCAAAAAGTGAAAATCCGGACACAAAGTTGAATAGCTTTCCCACCCCACCCCCTGGGGTTTTTTGTTCGTGTGCTTAGTGTTGACCAAAGTTGTTGAGCTTCTTTGGCAAAATCACAAAAAAGTTTTTGAGCTATTTTTATGAAAAATGACACTGCCGAAATGGATTGCCACAAGTCCACATTTTCCCAGACATTTTAGCACATTTCCACCCGCAGTATTCTGACTATGTCCGGGAAATTCTGGACATATGGCAACCCTGTCCTCTCCCTAATCACCCCCACAGGGCCAACTGGCACCAGCGGTCCTGTAGAAAGGAAGAAAAGAGGCAGGCAAGCAGGTAAAGACAACATCGGGACCTGTTCCAGTTGGACTATCCCCTCCCCGATCCCCACAGAGCTAACATAGCAACTGCCTTGTGGGATGGAACATCTGATGTCAGCTCCCACCCCACCAGAACTGTTTTCTTTTTTAAGGATGTGGTTCTTGATGTATCTGTTGTGTTTCAGAAGGATTACTGGCCACTTTGAGGACTGCTGGAAAAGTGGAATATAAATCTACTAAACAAACAAGAACATGCATGGGCTATCTTAATTACAATTCATCTTCTTGCAATGAATTTAAGTAATGGGCTTTCAATACATAGTTAAGTGCAAATAAATAATAGACAGTGAGAGGCAGTTTTAGAAATTCAGATATATTAGTTAGGTGCCAAATGGCACCTTAAAGCTAAGATACAGTTGTCACAATGGAATGTCTATTTGCCAGGGAGATGGACTACATGACCCTTGGGGTCCTTTACAATGCTACTATTCTATGATTTTATGATCTCAACTATACTGATTGACTGTAGCTTGCTCTTACAATTCACTTGTCCCAGTATGCAAGAAGGAGAAACACAAAGAGTTGTAATGGAAATGGTATTAACCATGGACTAAGGCAGAGGCTTTTAAACTGTGGTCGCCAACTTGGTGTCCAGAAATCTCCACGTAGTTGCAGTTGGACCCAGGCCAATAGCGAAATGCACTAACACTTTGCTTTCTAAACTCTCAGTAAGTATAAACAGCATACTAGCATTTGTTGTTGTTGTTATTTAGCATGGCTGTTTCCTATTGGTTAAAATTCATCACTATTATAGTATCTACTGTTACTCTCATTTTCAAGTTATAAAAATTATTAGGATAGACCTACCGGTAGTCAAAATCTCTCTCTAGATACAAGGTCAAACATGTTTATTGTTGCAGTTTCTACTTATTTCAAAGGCATAAAAGTCAGCGTGCTTTCTTATGAGATATGTATATTTTCAGCATGAACAATGAACTCTCTGCATGGCCTCTGAACCCTATGCTTGCTCAGAAGCCTAAAGAAACTCTGAACTTCAGCAGAGGCCATTCAATAGACAATTATTCATCAGCAAAAGGCACAGAATCTCACCGTGAAAATATCACTACTTTACCTAACAGTTTCTTCATGGGTTGTCTATCAGATTTTTCAAAACATTTCACTGTTTATTAGTAGCCCACTCAAAATAGTATTCAAAATGCTAATATTACGTACTGGTGTTTTTTACTATAAATTCATAATATTACTAATTCATAAAGTAAATGCAATTTTTAAAAAAGAAGCCCTCTCCCATTCAACTTTGTAGACAGTTGCACTTCTACAGTAATTATTTGGACCATTTTGTTATTGAAAAGCACATACCCTGTCAGATTACAATTCTTGGTAACTGTGTTAAGACCACTTTGAGGTCTTTTACAATCGAGTGGTATGCAAATTGTATGAAATAAAATAATTAAACAACACTCAAAACTCTTACAGCCATTTACAGGAAAACTGACCTTCGGTTCCAAAATAATCAGGGTTGGAGCAACTCCCCTATATGGAATGGTTACACTGTTTGGGGTTTTTATTAAAAATAAAAAAAAGCTGAGTAAAGGGGACATGATAGTGCTGCATAAAATTACCCATGTGCGGAGAACGTGGGTAGATATATTTTTTCCTCCTTTTGTCACGACGCCAGAACTCAGGGTCATCCAAAGCTGCTGAATGGAGATTCAGGACAGGCAACAGAAAGTACTTCTCTTCATATAGTGCATGTTTAAAAGTATGGAATTCTCTACCACCAAATGATGGCCGCCAACTCAGATGGCTCAAAAAAGGGGATTCCTGTAGGATGTGGCTAGTGATGGCTACTGGTCACAAAGGCTGTATAACACCTCCAGGATCAGAAACAGCATGTCTCTGGTGAACCACAGCATGAGAGGGGCATTGTGCTCAAGTCCTGCCTACGGGCCTCTCACAAGACATCCGATTGGTCACTGTAGGAACTGGGATATTGGATTACAGTAGCCTTTGGTCTGATGCAGTCATGAAGATCTTGTGTACAAGTATTGGTGGGGGAGGGGTTAGAGAGAATCGTTTAAAAAGAATTTTAAATTAGATCTTGCTTAATAAACCCATGCCCAATCCCGAAGACTCAAAGTGCATACTAATGAGTTTACAGTCTTTTGAGTGTGGGAGGGAGAAGAAAACAATCTACTTGCTTGCATCCCTCAATGTCCTTGGGCTCAAACAATCAAGCCCAAGCAAGCAACATTGTCTCCTATCTCCCAAACAATACAGCACTTATTTAAAAGGGACCACAACAATACTAATAGTAATTAGGCTAAATGACTGGATAAACAGAATGCAGCCCTCTTGAAAAGCCCATGTGTTTCAAGGCCCTCTCTCCTGTAAAACAGTTTGGGTGACAAAGAAAGCATTTGTATTCACAGTCACTGCTACTTTTATGCAAGACGACTTCCTATAGATTTCCTGTCAGGAAGAGAGCTTCCTTTTAAAATAGCCGAAGTGTTTAGATACAGTACCCATTCCTCCCAAAACCAATATTTGGAAAGGCAAAGGACAGAGTTCATTAAAAAAAAAAAAAAGGGAGAGAGAGTGTCAACCCACAAAGAGGCCAAAATTACTTTTCCAGCTACAGTATCACATGCTAGATTTGCTTTACATCATTCTTGTTTCAACTGCCACTTGTGCTATACTCCTAACAATTATAGCGTATTACTCATAGTGGATGTGTCACCTGCTCCCTCTTCTCCCACCCCCCACACCATACGTTCTTGCATTGTAGCACTGCAGATTATTGCCTCTAGGATATTCAAAGATGTAACATTCTGTTTTAGAATGTCCAGACACAATAGGCATTACCTTCCCATCCCCCAAACAAGTACAGACTCATATATGTGTCTATATTACTTGCACACATACACACACCTCTGGAATCAGACAACTCAGTGTTGATAATCAAACTGGACCATGCAACCACTCTCCAGAGTTTGTTTTTATGAATACACACATACTTTGCATTTAATTCATGCTAATTGTCACCTATAAAACTCTTAGGAGAAATACATCTGTTAAAAGGACAACTCTTTCAACAACACTGCTTTCAAGTAAAACAAAGAAACCTGTTTCCCCCCTCATTTCAACCCAACACTCCATAGTCTTAATACAGTTGCAGAAAACTAATTGTCTATTCTGTTGGGCATTATCTAATCATTCTGATCTAAAATGTTTCAAATCTCTCTCTTTTTTTGGGAGGGGGGAAAAACTGTACTGTGATAATGAACACCAGCTCAGATTCTAGGTGTATACAGTGAGGCCAGATTTCTCATAGGTGTGTTGCTATATGTACTGCAGCAACCAAACTATAAACAATATAGTTGCCTTTCAGCTCCTTAAAGCATAAATTGCACTTGTCATTTCATTTACTGCATACCTTCTGAGCAAAACAGATAAGCTTGTTCACCAAAACTTAGTCAAGTAATATTTCCATAAAAGATTTATTTTTTATGTTTATGGTTGCTGACAAAAGAATGTTCACAAGAGATTCTTAAAGCATAAGAATCTGCTCCAGTACTGTTTAAAGTGACATATTTATTAGAATGCAAAAGAATAAGTTAGGTATGTAAATTGCTGATAACCACTAAGTTTGACTTGAATCTGGGGATGGGATACAGGAAGGAGATGGAAAACCTTTTCTAGATACGTATAAGAAATCTTCATTTCTCTAAGCTAAAGTGAGTCTCACAGGGAAAAATATGCCTTGATGATAAATGGGATATTTGGCATCATGGTCATGAAACATTATGTCGGATTGTCACACTAACGAAGCAGTCAAACAACAAAGGAGGCTTCCAACATATTTTGTCCTTCTCGTCAACATTCTCTTAAAGATTATTTCCTGTTCCCTCCTGAACATCTCAAAAGGGAATCATAGAATGAATGGAACATAAAGGCATCATTAAAAGGGAGGGATGAGGAATTTCCTTTCATAATTTTTATTAAAAGATGACTGTTTCCCCTTGTTATAATCTTCCACAGCTTTATTGTTTGTGCTCTTATCCTGCCATGCATGCACAAGCATGTTGGTGCAGTGTCCATTATTTCTAAAGAGCTTCCACTGAAGCAGTTGAATAGATGAACATACACATGTGATACATATCCACAGACACCCTGTCCTCCTAACACACAAATGTTTATATTTATACTTATTTTTGTATAACCAAAAAGAACTTCCCTAGACAAAAACAGTCAACTGGGACACGAAGGCTCTATTCACAGAACCCCCAACAGCAGCGACACTTTTTGTTGTTGTTTAGAAAATGAAACGCAGAAATGCCTATTGAGATAATTGCATTTAGCTGGATTAAGAGACAATATCTGATTTGGTAATCATGATTTAGCAGAAGGAGACCAGGGATGCAGATTTGGGGGGGGGGGGGGGGAGAGACTTCTGGGATCACATCTACTAGGCATTTTGATTCGTTGAAAATACTGATCTGACCATTTTTCTCTCCATTTATTTTAGGGGGAAGGGGGGGGGCTGGAAGGCTTTAAACACCATATTGAGCAGGCCCTGCTGTGAATCTTCCTGAGGTACAAAATGGTGGATGTGAGCTTTAAAAGAAATTGCATTATTCATTACAACCTATGTTAATCAGTCACAAGATAACCCCCCTTTTTTTTTTTACACAGCACAGGGGAGATAAACAAACATGCGAGCCCATGCCTTGAAACAAACATACAGCTCTACACACACACACACAAACACACACAGCCAGTTACTGACCAGATGTCATGTAGCCCCGTGAAGCCTGGGAAAGGAAAGCTGGGGGGAAATGTTTGTGCAGGCGGTAGTCCTTTTCACTGCGGGACCTCATGCGATCAGAGGCCCGGTCAGAAAAATCAGAGCTAGGCCAGGCTCGCCGCAAGGTTGTACTTCGCGTCTTCTTCATTTTGAGGCTACCTGCAGTCTAATCCACCACGAGCAGCAGCAACAGCAGCAGCAGGAGCGGCATGAGCCAGGAGGCCTCACGGCTTGCTCGCTGCACTCGTTTTACACCCGTCTCTTTACAGGCACCGCTCGGGTCGGCGCTGCAAGCAACATTTTGCCACTACCTTGTCCATCAAGCAGACCGCAGGTCCTTTCCTTTCCCCCCTTGGAAAGATCCAATTCTTTTACACACGTCCCACAATGCATTACACTTCATTGGCGCTCAAGCCCGGCTTGTAGCTTCCAGAGTCATGTGGAGGAGAGGCAAATTATGTGGCTTCTAAGGCGGGGGGGTAGTGGCGGTGGAGGAGGAGGAGGAGGAGAGCGACCGAAAAAAAGGGGGGAGGGGGGGAGAAGAGAAGCGATCTGCAGCGTGGAAGCTCTGGGGTCCCAAAACAATAGGTCGATTCAGCACAGAAAGGCTCGGCCAACTGTGATCTGCAACACAAAAGGCCCGGGCGAATTAGGCAAAGCAGGCTGCCTTTGGGCTTGACCCGAAAGACGGCAGGGAGCAAAGCAAAGCAGCATCGGGTCTGCAATGCCATAGGAATCGCGGGGAAGTGCTGGTAGCGGCCAAAGGCTGGCTTCCCCCGCCCTCCTCCAACCTATCAGAATCCGAGCAAAACATCAATGGAGCAGCCGAAAAATCATGGCTGCAGCAGCAGCAGCGACCATTCTCCCCGTTAGCAGCTCTCGCAGCTCCTCCTGCCGCACTGGCAGAGCAAGGATCCCTCGCTCGCGCGCCCATTCAAGGTGTACATCAACCTACAAGCAGCAGCGATGGTGCTCGATGCAGATGGTCATCATGGCCGAGGGCTCCCGAGTCCCGTCTCTTCCAGGCTCCTGCAGCCGGCCGTCCTTCCTTCCTTCTCGCATGCACGCTTATTCCTCTTTTCCCATCACCGCCTGTGTTTGCCTACGTCTGCGCCCGTCGAGCCGTGCCAGCTCCTCCAGCCTTGGGGGGCAGCCGGACCGCGAGATTAAGCCCAACGCGCTTTGCTTTCTGCAAATCCGGTGCGTTTGCCTTGCCTCCCTGCTCCTCTCCGCCTCGACTACAGTGAATAGCTATTGAAGGCAGGAAACAAGGCAGCCACCCAGTCTTATGCTAATCAAGGAGCTGCCTTAAGTTAGACGCGCTCAGCCAGTCGGGCTGCACATTCTCATGTAAAATAGCCCTGGGCTCACCCAAACCTTCGCTTGTGTCCCAGCCTATAATCAGCTTGTGCGTATTTACATACAAAGTTGTTGTTGTTGTTTTTATTTTTAAAATAACAATCCAGCCTCTACCTCCTCTCTTTTCTTACAAAGAAAAAACAGAAACGCCTTTGTTTTTTTGTTTTGTTTTGTTTTTTGAAGCCAAACCTGCCCAAAGATTTCTTAGCCTGCCCAAACAATCACTGATGTTGGAAAGGAGGTGGGGAGGGATGGGGAGAGAGATTGGTGGAGGGAACCCATTCATTTGACAGCTGGAGAGGAACTCTAGGACAAAAGTAATCAAACTGCCTAGAAGCAGCTAGTACTACACTACTTCTTTGGCCCTTCTCTCTCTCAGCACACACTGCCAACCAATCAGACTCTATGAGAAAGGCCTGTAATCTCTTTTGCAAACCAAAGGCTTGGTACAGCTGTTTCTAGTCCAATAGCCAATCATTGTGAGACAACAATGCATGAAGGGTACTAAAAGGAGAGAGGTCCAGTTCTGTTTGGGATATGCTGTTAGCTGGAGAGTACCCTAGCAGCCAGAGCATGACTGTGGGAAGGCTGTAGGATTCTGTTCTGTCTGGAGACTTAGAGGGATACACCCCCCACCCCCTCCACCCCTTTTACCTCTCCACCAAAAGGAATTTTAACTATGCTTGTTTTTAACCGCAAGAGCTCTTAAGGCCAATAATTTTCATTCGGAATAACATTATTTACTATCAAACAATTCAGAGGCCTTATTTATCTATAGGAACATTTTTATCTGGTGCCTGCATTCCACTCTGGGCAGCTGAAAGCAATCAAAAGCAACCAAAAAGTACAATAAAAATTTATAAGGTACAATATAATAATAATAATAATAATAATAATAATATTTTATTTATACCCCGCCCTCCCCAGCCAAGGCCGGGCTCAGAGCGGCTTACAAGCAATAATAAAAACAAGAAGAATGATTACAACTTAAAAACAAAAATAAAATACAACATTAAAATAATGGAACATTAAAATATTAAAATGTAGCCTCATTTTATATAACACAAATAGACTAGAACAGCAGATAAAGTAAGGCGACGGATAAAAAAACACACCTCCAGATAAAAAAAAAATTTCGAATAAAACACACACCTGCCTAAAACAGGAACGGTTTTGCCTCATGGCGAAACACTATAAAAGAGGCGGCCAATAAAATCTCCAAGGGCATAGAGTCCCAAAATTTAGGTGTGACCACAGAGAAGATTTTCTCTCTAGTCCCTATTTATCATGCCTCTGTCACAGTCAGGACATAAAGAGCCTCTTTGGAGGCTACTACCCTTCCAGCGCACACGCACACACACACTTCTATGCTTTCATTAGCTATTCACCTGTTCACTTTTTAAAAAAAGTCCTTTTATGCTATATAAACAATACTCTGAGGAAATGGACGAGAGTAGTGAAATTGAATTTCCAACAATACTTTTCAGTGTGGACCTGAAAGGGTTAACTTCTCATATGCAAAGTAACAGATTAAGAGCCAGGGACATTTTTCTCTCTTCATTGCTGGGCTCACTAGTCATTACAAAGCTTTTGCTCCCCAGAGTCAGTGAAGGCCACACTAGGACTAGAAATGTTTAAGAAGAACTTCTTCCTTTCCTAGTCCCTGAGAACACATTTCCTGCCACTTATTTTCATAGAGATGTCATCAATACTTCAAAGCTGCCCAGGGATATCCAGTGTTACATACATGAGATTAGTCACCCAAGTTGCCACCTGAAAATTAAAGGTAAAGGTAAAGGGACCCCTGACCATTAGGTCCAGTCGTGACCAACTCTGGGGTTGCAGCTCTCATCTCGCTTTACTGGCCGAGGGAGCCGGCGTACAGCTTCCGGGTCATGTGGCCAGCACGACTAAGCCGCTTCTGGCAAACCAGAGCAGCGCATGGAAACGCCGTTTACCTTCCCGCCGGAGCGGTACTTATTTATCTACTTGCACTTTGACGTGCTTTCGAACTGCTAGGTTGGCAGGAGCAGGGACCGAGCAACGGGAACTCACCCCGTTGCGGGGATTCGAACCGCGACCTTCTGATCGGCAAGCCCTAGGCTCTGTGGTTTAACCCACAGCGCCACCCGGGTCCCCACCTGAAAATTACTTTGCTGCTAAACATTCTTCCCTCCTTTTTTCTTGCCATGCTGCAATTCTCAACAGCTTAAAATATATAAATAGTAGTTCCCATTTCATCCAAACGGAGAAACTGCAGTTACTGGGTTGAGAGCAAGTCAGAATCTTAAACCAACTTCAAGGTCACCATGTTTCTCTAGGGGATTTTAAATATCACCTTCCATAGGTAATTTTGCTGCTGTTCAGCTGATCATTACAGTAATGAAAGAAAGGTGAATTAAGGACCATAGATATGGTTGGGGTTGTGGACCTCCTTTCACCTCCTTTCAACTTCTAATTCGGCCATGGATTTGTAAACAAGTCAGAGGTTGAAGTGAGTTCAAAACATTAACCCTGGGCCAAGGTAACAGATTGTGTAAAGAGGTGCTTTGCCTTCATTGGTTTTACAGATTACTATTAATTCATCACAGAGACCAAGAAGTAGCTTTGCTCATTAGCACAAGTTTAATTTACCAATGACAACCACCATATGGTTCTCTTTGACTTAAAAGGAGAAAAAGTGATGGATGCAATCTTTCTGCAGAAAAGTCATTGCACCATCCATACACAGCCATCTCTTGGAGAATATCGCTAAGGCTAAACGTGGCAGGGGTTCATTTAAACAAAAAAGTCACATGGGAACGCCATGGGAGACCATTTTCAATGGACCACAGTGTCACTGCTCCAAACAAGTCAGCAGGAATAAATTCAAGTCAGTGAGGTTTCCAGGTCAAGCTGCCAAACTTCTGCCACTCAAGACATCACCATCTTAATGTTCCCCACTTTTCTTCCAGTACAACACAAAGAAGAACACAACTACCATTTCCACAAGCACTTCCACGCTATATATACACACTGCTAACCATCTGTGAAACACTGCAACAGTTTCCCCATTGAAAGCCATATTAAACAACGAAAGGTTCTCACTACATATAATTATAAATAGGCATATCTGTAACGTAGCAATGAATACATAAAAACCCTATATCCATTATTGCCAAAATATTTCACATTTTTAAAAGGTCATGGATTTGAAAGGTGCAACTTCAAAAGTAATTAGGCATGAGTAAGTGGATGCTTCTTATAAAAGAAAGTAATAAATATTGGAAGTTCTATATGGATTGCACTACTTATCTGGAGATAAGACTGAATAAGCTTCTAGTTTAGTTTACCGGCAACACCAAAGTAAACAGAATAACAAAGCTCAAAACAGTCATGAAAAAAAGACAGAAGGGGATCTCTCCACACTGACTGGATAAACAAATATACTAGCAAATAAAATTCACTGCTAGTAAGAGCAAAGTAATGCACGCTAGGGACAAACAATCATAACTACACAATGCACATTCATAGGTTGGCTACAGCTACCTAATAAACTGATCATAATAGAAAGTCCACCAAGAATATCAACCCAGTGTGTTGAAACAAAAAAGGCAAATGGCTTCAAATAGATTAAACAAGTTAGTGGAGGGTACATTTCAATAGAGTTTAGCCATGACAGGTGAAGATGTATTTCCCATGCTCAAGTGCTTCTTTCTGTCTATGACATACTAGAAGCAAAAAGCAGGGGGATGATATTGTCAATTTGCTTTGCCAATGCTCATCCCTGGGACACTGGATCAGTTCTTGCGAGCTTCTTTAGTCTGAAAGCTGGTGTTAGACTGGCACTACTGGGACACCAGGAGTTTCTCTAGCCTTTAAATGTGGAAAGTTTTGTCTGGGGTCAAGGCCGCCTCTTGACTAACAAGCAAAAAGCATCAGAAGATGTACGCATTTCAGCCTTCAACTGCTAATGTTAATTGAAACCTTAAAGAGTTCAAAGGTTCAAAGGGGGGAGGCTGAGCTGGTGAAAAGTTTTGTTTGGAAAGCCCAAACATGAAAACAGAGCTCTGCATCCATCCATCTCTTCCACATGGAGTAAGCAACAACAAAACCAACAAGTTTAGGAGTTCAGGGGCAATGGCTACTTAGTGAATAAAATATATATTGGTTTAAGTTCTACGCTGGATATAACAGAAATGCCCCAACGAGTGTGGATGTTATACACAGAGAGTGCAGGCACAGAGCTTCAACTAATGTAACACTTGGTAAGAGTCCTGAATCTTAAGAGCAGGGGGAAAGAGGCTGGAATTTCTTAAACGGAGAAAAGGAATTGGGATTTATTATACACATGAGTTGGCAATTGCAAATGCTGCAGTGCTTCCCCTCTATCCCTTTTCAGGTCACTTTCAAAAGAAATGACTTTTATGAGTGGCCCAATACTGGGTTACAGGAAGTCCCAGGTTTCGTCTTTCCCACACCGATACTGAGGTTCACTAAGCAAAGTAACATGAAGAAAGGACACAGTACAGCATCTCTCTTAGGATGTCTGCCACTGATTTAATTTGTTCCCTTTCAGAAAATGCTCATCATCATCCAAATCAGATATACAAAGGGCGCCACAAAAAGGAACAGTTGGCAAGAATCACAATCTTTTGGCTGTCTCCATCCTAAGTACGTATAAGATTGTTTCCACTGATGGAATTGAATTAGCACCACAGTTGCCAGTTTGACACATTTCAGGGTCTATCTTCTTAGATGCAATGTTTGAACAAATTTTGTCTTTAAAAAACTTGAGAGATACAGAGAGAGACAGCAAAGCAATTCCCAGGCAGGATCTTCCAAATATAAAAGCAGGAGCCATTCAGACATCCTCAGGCTAGTCTGCCACTTACCTGCAGA